TGTCGCTCCAACAGTCAACAGATGACAGTAATTTGTCTTCTAGTAATGCCCAAGGTTGGCAAAATTGAGAAGGCAGCTTCTGCTGTCAAAGTTGGTCAACACTGCTAATCACAAGGCTCGGAGTCTGATTAATTGCAAGGTGCTGAAGTCAGAAGATGGTGGTGCCCACGGAGGATAGGTTCAGGTAAGCACATATGCTGGCTTCTGCCCCCCTCCCAGCAGGGATGGCGCCTTAGAGGGTCTCTGGAAAAGTGACACTGTCACTTTAAATGGTCAATCTAAACACTAAAACTCCTCCAGCTTTGTAAAGTTGATTTTGGTGCATAATAATGCAACTGCAGTCTCACCGAACAATTCTGATGCTTAAATTACTTTCTGCTACCCTAGCTGCTCTTCCATGGCTTACAATCACTTAGCTTTATTGAACACTTCCTGAAAAGATCCATTTAGACACTCATTTTCAGCTCAGTGTTGGCAGTGTGAAAGGAACCTTCTTACTGGGACATTGTAGGCACCCAAACCACTTCAGCTTGTTGAAATGGTCTGGATGGCAACTCCCATCACCTTTAACCTTGCAAGTGTAATTATTGCAGTTTTTATAAACTGTAATATTTACCATGCAGGGTTATGTCCGCTAGTGGCTGTCTACAAGACAGCCACTAGAAGGACCTCCGGCTTAGACTACTTTTGGTCATCTAAACGACGCTTGACATCCTCACGCTATGCATGAGGACATCCAGCGTCGCCAGAATCTCCATAGGAAAGCATTGAAGAATGCTTTCCTATGGGGAGGTGTAATGCATGCAAGGCCGTTGCCGCTCATGCGCTTTAGGTCTCCCCCACTGACGAATGTTGGTGGGGGAGGAGCATGGGTAGAGCCAGCCCCGAGGGACATCTGCGCTGGATTCAGGTAAGTGTCTGAAGGGGTTTTAACCCCTTCAGCGATGTGGGATGGGAGGTTTTTCTGGCACTGGAGAATCCCTTTAAGTAGCTAATACCATATAACTAATTGCTCTCTGCCAGCCACATAAACTGAGCCTTTAACGGAGAACTGGCACTTTCTAAGATTACATTCTTTTATGGAGTCCCCATATTTAAAGTGTGGGTGCTGTCACTTATTCCTGCAATGTAAATCATTGTAGTCGCATAACTGATCTGCATTAGGAAACCAGTGTCGATAAAAAATCCCCATAGTAAAGCATTGATTCAATGCTCTACTATGGGGAGGGTCTAATGTGCTCGCACACCTTTCGGAGGAGGTGGGGTGATGGAATCTGGTGCTAAAAGGGTTTTTGCAGCCCCAAAGAGGGGTAGAGCCATAGGGTATTCTAGTGCCAGGAATACACGTTTATATTCAAAGCACTTTAGTATCCCTTTAATAAATCAGTTTGCATGGTGTAAAATATAAAATTGTAAAAATCCTCAGCTCTTTATACTGTAACTAGTTGCCTCATCATGGCTTCTTAGTAGTTTAAAAAATATTTTAAAAACAAAACAAACTCGCAGTAAGAATGCAACATGTATTACCAACACTTGTGTTATACGGATTATTTGGATTTCTAGGTCCCTCAAAACAAAGTAAAACCTTTTTTCGTTGCCTTTATTTCCTTGCTCTGCTGGTCTCTGTGGCTGTTCTGCTGGAGATCACAAGTCTTTATGATCGTAGCTAATTTTGCATGAACAGTAAATCCCAGTGCTGCACCAATAAACATATCCTCAGACACACTGAGTCAGTGCCTGTCTACAGGGAGCATTCAGCATCTCCATGTAGCAAGTAAAAAAAAATTGATTCTGCAATCTCTGCAGGACCAAACCTAGGTCAACCCTCTAGTGCAGGGGGTGGGTAAACTTTGGCCGGCCAGATGTTGTGTACTACATCTCCCTTGATGCTTTGCCAACGTTATGGGAGATGCAGTCCAAAACATCTGAAGGGCAGACTGTTCACCACCGCTCTTCGATCGATGGCTGCTAGAGGTGGGTTTTACAGCAATACAAACACTGCCTTTTCCTTTTTAAAACATTGTATTTGCAGTGATTAGCTTGCAGGGATAGGCTCTAGACCAGGGGTTCCCAACCTGTGGTACGCGTACCCCCGGGGTACAATTCAGTGCCCTGGGGGTACGCAAAATAATTTCGGTAATGGCGGCCTTACGGATTGGTAACCCAGCCTTCAGGCATACTGGGCAAATGCTTGGTTTGCTGCAATGGCCATGGTCCGACAGGGGAGATCACAGGATCTCCCCTGCCAGCCCTAGCTGGACCAGCACTATCAGAGCGCCGGCCCTGCTGTGCCTTTATGGGCTGGTGGGGAGATCGCACTGACAGGTGACCTGCAGGAGAGGAAGGGAGGAGCTGGGAGGCAGAAGGTTCCTCCCACAAGTTCGGCAATTTGGAGCATTGCTGTGGGTTACCATGGCAATGCTCTGATCTTGCAGGGGTACTGAACTGCAGGCAGAGTAGTGCTGCTCATCTCTACTGGACCACCAGGGCAATGTCCCCTCTCCCTGGGCAAAAGCTAAGGGTTTATTTATACATTTTTTTAGTAATTTTTTTGATGAACTTCCCCCTATTCCCCCATATATAGAGAAGAAAAAGGCGCAAGAGAATACTGAAAACAGGCAACAGCTGAAATAGCCTGCCCTTCGGTGGGTCCCCGCTCAGTTCTCAAGCTTGTTTTAGCTCATCTTGTGCCATTACAGGGACCAAAAACAATGTGCACGCAGAGCACCCCTAACACACACTGCACCCCTCACACACTTCAATAGGGGGAATGTGCACACGCAGCACCCATCACACACAGCAGTGTGTATCTACATGTGTTAATGTGTGTATCTGTATGTCAGGGTGTGTATCCTTAAGTGTCATTGTATGTGTCTGTCAGGATAAGTATCTGTGCATGAGTATGTCAGTGTCTCTGTATCTGAACGTGTCAGGGTATGTATACTCAAGTGTCTGTGTGTGTATATATCTGTCTATGCATCTGTTAGGGTGTGCATATGTCAATGTGTCAGATACATACCGTGATACACATGCAGATACGCAGACACACATTGACACACAGATACATATACTGACATGCAGATACACACACCTATATACATACCCTGACACACATGCAGATACTAAGACACATACACTGACACACTTAAGGATACATACCCTATGTTTCTTTGTGTTGTGGTGTCTGTCGGTATATCTGCATCTGTCTGTCGGGGGTATGTATCTGTCTGATACAGATACATACCCTGACACACATGCAGATACACACGATGACACACATACATACCCTTGCATACATACGTCTGCATCTGCTTGTCTGTCTGTATCTGTATGTCATTGTGTATCTGTTTCACTATATCTGCATATTTGTCAGGGTATGTATCTGTGTCATTGTGTGTATCTGTATGTATGTTTTTGTCTGTATGTCCGTGTTTTCTGTTTGTGCATTGTCTGTACATCTGTAACTGTTAGTGTCTGCATCTATGTATCTGCAGGTGTCTGTGTTTGCATGTGAGTTTGTGTGTATGGGACAGAGAAACATATAAATTTGAAATAAATGCAACTATTTATATTTTGCTAACGGAAGGGGTACAATTTATGGAAATGGCTGCCAAGGGGTACTAAAGTGAAAAGTTGTGAACCACTGCTCTAGACACTAAAACTACTACATTAAAGGGACATTAGTCACTATTTCAAAGAAAGCAGTGTTTACTGCCTGGGAAAATCTATACTCTCTGACTGTCACTGAATGTACTTGAAATCTCAGCACCACCTTCGGTCTTCTTGCTCTGCATAGAGGCCCTAAACGCTACCCATAGATGTATTGATTCAATGCATCACTATGAGGAGATGCTGACTTTTTTTACTGAGCATGCGCAGTACGCTGCCAATTCTTTGCTATAGGAAAGCATTGGATTGGCTGATAGCTTCAGGATTGTCCACCCTGAAGGCAGTACTAGCTGCCGCAAGACCTGCAAAGGTGAAAAAGGTTTAAATACCTTATTTCTCCATTCTGGTGGGGGCAGGGATGCTAGTAAATCAAAACTATATTGTTAGGAATACATATTTGTATTCCTAACACTATAGTGGTCCTTTAAGCTAGGTCCTTTGTTGAAAGTTGGCTTGCATTTTGAATACTCAGTAGCCCATGTTACATTAAAGACTGGTTGTTGTCACTAGGTACACTGTTGTACCTGGTGTAGTGACCTAGGGTGATGCCATAAACATTATTTAGAAACACTATTTAGAAGGGTTTAGAAAGGCTTACAGCTGGGGGCATATGATTATCCAAACCTTCCTTCATAGTGCAGTTTAGTTTCTTGGAAGAAACTTTATTTTTTATAAATGGTGATTTTGCTTTTAACTGATGTGCTAAATGTTCATGATAAAAAATAGCCTATTTTTAGTGTCTACAGTAAACCTGATGGCCAGATCCCATCGGAGACATCTTTGTCTTTTAGCAGTAATTCATGTTTTCTTTGTGCTTGCATTTGTTTCAGCAGCAAGCTTTTTACTTTTTTGTAAAATGGCCTATTTTATTGACTGCTCATGTGTAACAAATAAAACATTGAGATCTGTTTGAGGTCTCATTAAATTCCTGGTTTGCCCGATAGTGGGAGGATCATTTTCTACAGCATCTACCACACTAACAGGAAAGTAAAATTAATGCAATCTTATAATGCATCAGCCACCATCAGGGCATGACAACCATGACGGCACTCCTTGAGGGGGCCCAGACTACTCTGGCAGTCCAAGCCCCACATTCCTTACGTGCACATATATAGCGATTCTTGGGCTCCCTGCTACCTGTAAATTGAAGTGGGGGCCCAGCAACAAGTTTCCTTTCCAGATTCTGTAACTTTCGAGAGTCACATGGATGTCTGAGCATTGCCATGGGTTACCATGGCAATGCTCCACACAGCATGCACCCCAGTCTCGTGAGTTGGACAGAAAGGAGCTGGAAAGGGAACAGTTTGTTGCTGGGCCCCCTCTTCAATGTACATCGGCTGGCTCACTTCACCATGCCACCAGGGAAAGGTAAGAAGCAGGGAGGGGGAATAAAATTTAAAATCTAAACAAAGTTAATGTTAAAAATAAATGCTCCTCCCCTATATTACACTCTGCACACACATCCACTGCAAAAATACACGCTGCAATAATTATACTCTGCATTCACTACATTCTGCATCTAATGCATAGAAACATTACACAAAACGTATAATCTGCATTCACTTAACACACTGCATCCATGACCCACATACCGCATCCACTACATACATTCTACATCCCATCCTCTAGACACACACCACATTCAGTGCACACACTTGATCCTTGTGGGCGGACTCCGGGCAGGCCCTGTGGATGGACTAGGGATCGGCCCCTGGGTGCCCAGACCTTTTGCTGTGTCAGGGCCCCCAAAACTTCTGATGGCAGCCCTGTAATACATACAATGTGTGACAAATTCATCCAGTGGAGTCTAGCTAAATAAAATTAAGGATAAGTCCTAATGAGTCACTTTACAGGATATCGGGTTTAAAATGCATCCACTAAAGTGGAAAAGGTATATTTTTACTAACTACAGTTTTAGGTTGAGTAGGTGTATTGTATGGTAACTTTTTTTTTTTTTTTTCTCCAGTATAAGCCCTGAGATTGCCTTCATTAAACACTCCTTGGAGAGTTACATGGTCTGTATCACATGCTGGAATGTTCTATTTAGGGCCAGAGTCATGTAGAGCAAGCACCATGGTAACAAATAGAATGTATATTATCACGGTTTTAGCACTTGTGTCTGGTGTTTGGCCATCCGGCAGGGCACGTGTTGAAAGTCACCTCGTCACGTGCTTCCCTCCTGGTCCAACGTTCCATTGGCCACGCCCCGTGGCTGCGCAGGAGGAAGGAGGCGGGAAAACCGTGAGTGCCCTGCAGGGAGGAAGCATGGTGCTGGGCAGAGCTATGTACATGGTGTCTGCAGAGAATGGGGGTCGCCGGGAGAAGGTAATGGGGCCCCTATCCCCCACCTCCAGTGGCACTCTCACTCTGTGATTGGGATGGGAATCATGGGGTCTGCTAGCTTAAATCTATTATGGGAAAGCAGAGGCTATTAGTGTACCCTTGGTTAATGCATGCAAATGTTGGGGTGGGTTCCTCCATGCTCTGAGCCTGCAGAATGGCAGGGCCTATCACTCAAGGATTTGGGTTACTAGGGGTGCATGGAGGGTTAATTTACTAGGAAAACTACATGAAGTGCTTTCAGGGGGAGGTATTGGGGGTGTACAGAATAGGGACTTAATTTGGTGGTTTGGACACCCCAAGTTGGAATCTGGTTTGTACATAACTTTTATTTTCCCCTGGGGATTTTTAGTTAAATATGTAGTATTGCATGGTCAGGTGTATACTGCATGTTTGTGAGTTGAGCTCTCTTCTGGTAAGTAATACATAAAACACAATGTACGGATATGGACATAAACATTGCATAATGCAAGACTTCAGGACCAGCTGCAGGCTGATACTTCCCAGCACTTCTTATTTCATACACCCCTGCATGCAGGCTTGATTTGACTCGACCAAAATAATTACAAATAAAACGATTTGCCAGGTCCACCTGTATTTGTAGCCGCTGCAAAGAACGTTTTCCAGAGCAGAAGTACTTGAAACCTCAGACATTTCCCAGATTGGAGCACGGAGTACACATTTTTAACAGCGCTTCTTTCTAGAACTAGCTCACTATAGGGGAAACGGAGGAGTGGTTACTCTCAAATGCTTCCTTTACAATGCAATGACAAACGTGTAACATATATATTTTAGGTATCGATCTTGAGTTTCCCACCCTGCACTATGTATAAAAGTAGCTCTATTAATCATTGCACATGGCCACTCTAAGCACCATAACTGTAATTGCAAAGGTGATGGTGCGTGCTTTGCACCTGCATATTAAATAAGTGGCTTAGAACTACAGTTTGATAGAATGAGTTCTGGGCAGCCTGTGCTAATTTAGTCCGTTGTGCTTATGGAATCTACACACAGCTTAGGCTGCAGTCTCCTGGGAGACCGCTGGATCAAGCAGACATCACCACAGGCTGGTTTGCTAAACATTGTTTGCAGCTGACCTGTATGGATACCATAATTTTATAGAGTAGTTCTGCTTGGTGATGTTTGGGCTCAGTTTGTGGGATAAGTCTCTTCTTGCTTAGAGAGACGCAGACCCACTGACCTACATGAAGAGAAACTTAGAGTAATTAATACTTTAAAAAAGTAAGCTATGGTGCAAGAGTTTTTTTTTTTTGAGATCGTGGATCTCCTGATGTTAAACGAAAACACCAATCACTCTTTGCAAACCTTCAACTGTCTGTCACACAAGTGATGTATTTCACCCCACTAAACCTTATTACAACTTTTTCCTTGAATAGAGAAACAAAGATGAGTAAAGCAAATCTCTTGCAATGATGCATGTGATGCAATTGTCATACTTTGGCACATCCCATAGTTTTGTTGTTTTAACATTTGGGTTGTGCAAAAAGGAAAACTGGTGGAAAGCACAATAGAAGTTTTTAAACAGCCAGGGGTCTACCCAGATCTAGACCATATCGGAATACCCAATATTACCCTTTCTAAATCAGGTGAAAACGTGCATGGGCCAATAGGACACTTAAGGTTGATTTACAGTTATGAAGCAATGAAGTCCATATTCTTGGATTTGACTTCCTTCTTCGTCACAAGATTTCATAATTAATACTATGACTGTTGTATTGCAGTGTGACTTGCTGAGCATCTTGCATAAATCTCAGTACTACAGATGCTTCTGTGACTGCTGCTAGCATCAATGTTGTAGTGCTCTGTCAATATTGAGTGCAAAATGATTTGGTTAAGAGTACCTTGCTTTCATTACAAATTCACATTAAAAAAGTAAAAGCAGACTGTGTTCCTAGCTTTTTGCCACAAGATTTATTTTGGCAGGACAGCCATCAACCTAATCAACTTCAATGGATGACATCCAGCTCTTAGTTGTTGAAATATGCCACAAACCTACTCGGTCAGGTAGCTTCTGATCTGGACCAATCAAATTCTGGTAGGACATTTCTCCTTGTGAATTGAGATCTGGCTACAGTGCGTCTAATAAGTATTTCCCTTGCACCTTCTGAATTTTGTTTGAAAAGGCCAAAATTCTATTTTAGTTTCAGGTTTTTTAAGACTGATTTTGAACCACCAAATAGATGTTATCAGAAGTATTCACAATATGGCACTACATCCTTGACTGCAAATACAGTGGTGAATATTTTGTTGGTTTGGCTCTATAATTACTGCATGGATGGATACTGCAGTTTGCATTCAAGACTGATAAACTCTCAAAGTCTGGACTTCAATGTTTGACTCGGTGTGAAGTATCTTGAAAGTGAAACGTTCACCTCTGGAATCAACTTCCCTTCTGACCAGTTTCCTAGTCTTGGCCAACAAACATTCCTACTGCATATCCCTACCATGCTTCAGTGAGGATGGTATTATCGTAATGACCTTGGTGCTGTCAAACCAGAGGTTTTTCCAAACTTGCTTTTTTCCCCATATGCATTTTGATAAATTCAAAACTTGTTTTTCGGGATCTTTATTGCCACTCTTCCATGCAGTGGAGTATCTGTTATGGTTGTCCCATAGATTGCTTTCCAATCTTGCCTGTGGATTTCGCCGGCTCATTCAGTGTTCTTGGCTTGTGGTTGGTTACTCTGTAGAATAGTGAATATTTGAGAAACGTTTTAGAACCAAACTGCTTCTCAACGTTACACTGAACTTGTTTTGATGGCTTCATAATATATTGTGATGCTGTCTAACAGACCTTGAGGCATTCAGGAATGGTTGTTTTTTTTTTTTCATCACTGGACTAAGTGCACACTCAATTCAATCTATTATGTGACTTTTGAAGGTGGTAATTGCTGGCTCACCTTACTAGGTACACTGTAGGCCATGGGTGTCCAACCTTACGGCTTCTCTCTGCTGCATTGAGCAAAGAGGAATTGTCTTGGGCCACACAATATTTCATGTATATACATAAAACTTCAAACGCCTTCTTCATTTTCAATTGTTTAGTAGATAACTCCCTTATTTGTTATCGTTTAGCAAACTATCTACTAAACACACGTGTATAGAAGTATGCACACATAACCAGATAGTGTATATAATCACACAAACATACAATCAAAGACCTATACAAATAATCACAGAAATACGCACACAATCTCAGACCCCCACACACCTGCAACCACTGGCCTATGCACACAGTTGGACCCCCCACACACATGCAATCAGATATACATACCACATTCACACATTCAGTAATTAAGAGGTACACGCAGCCTCCCTACCTTGCTCTGGGAGGGCTGGAGTGAATCTGATGGCCAGTGGTTGCTGTTGGGATGGGATCTGTTCCTCCTGCACAGGTCCCACTCACACCCAGTAGTGATGACGTCCTATCCTGGCTGCCGGCTCACTACAGGGCGCAAGGGAACTGTGCAGGAGGAGCACAGTTAGTGAAGTGCTTCCCTTGCCGCCCAGCAACCAGGCTGCAATACTACTGGTTCCAGGCTTGGGTTTGGACAAGCCTGCTGTAGGCACCAGAACAGTTGCAGCTTAATCTATTTGTTCTGTCACTTGGGGGCTCTGAGTAATTGCTGCCACTTTCTGAGAAGGCAATGTTAACACTAAAAGGGCTCCCTGGATTTCAGCCCTGCAATCTAGAATGTTCAGTGTTTACATGCAGGAATGTGGAGATGAAAGCTTGTCATAGTGATACAATGACTTCATGCATCTGAGGAGATGCTAAGTAGTGATTTGCTGTGTTTGTGCACTAGCCTTCCAATTCTTGAGTCATTGTCTTGACTGAGATTATCAGGATTGGTCTTGGCTGGAGCAATACCAGCATGCCTCTTTTCAACTTTTTATTTTTTTAGAAGTCTGGGGGCCAAATAACCCAAATTGGTAGAACACTGTCATTTCTATTCCTAACACTATATAGTGTTCCTTTAAGACTTTACCCATATTGTTATGAAACTTCTGGTAGGGTCTCTTAACAGGATTACATTTATATTGAATATAAAATTTTAGATATCAATACAGCTATTTACCAATGTTCTGGAAGGTCACATCTCCCTCTCTGATACAAATGTTTCTATTTTTTTTCCCCTTCCTTGCAATGTGTGCCCTCACTACGCCAGGGCTGAACTGAATTTTATTAGACACGTAGGCGAGTATTATGCTTTCTCTATCCTTTAATTTTTATCAGCAGCAAAGAGAATAAGAATAAAACATAACATTGCCTAGTAACGGTGCAACCGATCACCACTCTATAGATCTATATATCTATATATATTTTTTTATATCGGGTGTTGCACTCCTAAACTTCTTTCTTCTCTGCTCCCTCAAACCAGCCAAGTACCTTGTTTCTACACTGCAACTTAGTTAGATTGCTAAGAATTCACATTGTTTTGCTTGGTTTCTACTTACATTTTGTTGCGATTACTATGACTGGGAAGTGTGCCTGGTCTTTTTAATGCCTTAGTACTTGACTGGGGTGGCCTGACACCCCCCCCCCCCTTCTCTGCCTCCCTCTAGGCCAGGCCTAGGCAACCTTCAGCACTGCAAATGTTTTGTACTACACCTCCCATGATGCTTTGCCAGCAACATGGGTGTAAGAGCATTGTGGGGTTGTAGTCCACAACATCTGGAGTGCCAAAGGTTGCCTATCCCTGCTCTAGGTGAAAATTTGCCTGGACGAGGGAAGGCAACAGAGGCCCCTTTGCAGCTGTTCCCTCACTACCTGCGGGATACCATGGCCGCCAGGACCCGCTTGCAGCTCTTAGCTGCAATATAACACGTAATTGTTATAGGTGATCAATGTATTTACTGGGAACTAGTGGTTCCCTTTTAACTGTTAACCCTGTCCACACTGAGGTATAACGTGTACATCTAGAGCTGAGGTCTCCTCCCCAGAGAGCTGTGCCTATTGCCCAGTGAATTTTTCTGTGTAAAAGGACCATTCCACTGTTTCTATTAGTTTAGAAGCATTTCCCTCATTGTAAGTGTAACTGCTCTTGGTTAAAATTATCCAACCTTTTGCTAGACCATAAAGCAAATGTCAGGTGAGTGGTTTCTGACTGGATGCCCTTCCTTGTGATTGAGGGTTCTGCTTATTACTAACGTGCTGTTCATATAAAGGAAAGTGGTACTGTCAGAACTACATACCTGTATTCCTGACACTATAGTGTTGTGGCTGCTTAGGTGACCAGCCTCCCTTCTATTCCTGGAAAGGTGAATTTACACTAAGAAAACAAACATTTTCCAAAACATTCCCCCCCATGCTGGTCTCTTCACATGTGGCCCTGTCTCTATAGCTGTGATCAAGATTGATCTCAGACAATCCAATGCTTTCCAATGCAAATTCTGCATCTCTATGGGGAATGTTCAGCCCTCCATGCAGGGCGTGAAGATGCTGTATTCCAGTGCAGCAGTGTGCACCTCTAGTGACAGCCTGATTGTCAGTCACCGGAGGTGTTACTGTGTATTGCTTTAAACGCTGCCTTTTCTCTAAAAAGACAGTGTTAATGGTAAAAAGCTATAGGCACTATAATTATATCAAGCCATAGTTCTGGTGACTATAGCGTCACTTTAAGTTGTGGTTAAATCACGGAATAGAAACTCGCCACTCAATAGCAACAGAAGTGATTTTTGTCTAAAATTTGCAGTTTATAAATTTGTCTAATTTTGTTTTGCAGTAATGCAATCTGTTATGTATCATTTTATCTCTTGGTTTGAATTCCCACTGCATTTGGTCTCTCTTGTAGTCTACAAACACTTTAATGGGTCACTCCCACTACCATGGCAACTTCTGCTTTTTAACCCCTTAAGGACTGGACTGTTTTTGCGATGTACATTTGCAACCAGGCCTCTCTTTACACTTTTGTGGTGGTTGTGTTTAGCTGTAATTTTCCTCTCATTTACTGTTCCCAAACACATTATATTTTTTTTTCAGGACAAAAGGGGCTTTCTTTACATACCATTATTTATTAATTTAATTTAAAAAAAGATGAAAAATAAGAAAATACATGTTTTTTGACTTTTTTACTTGAATCTTTTGCTCATCTACAAAAGCGAATGGGGAAAAAAAACCCTGCTAAATAGATTCAAAATGTTGTCCTGAGTTTAAAAATACCCAGTGTTTACGTGATTTTTTTGCAAGTTATAGGGCTATAGGTACAAGTAGAATATTGCGGTTTCAAAACATACATCTTTAAAATTTATCAATAGTGACATTGTAACACTGTTATCTCTCATAAATCTCTGAATAACACCCCACATGTATGTATTTTTTTTTTTTTTAAAGTAGACAACCCAGGGTATTCAATATGGGGTATGTCCAGTCTCTTTTAGTAGCCACTAAGTCGAAAACACTGGCCAAAGTTAGCATTCATATGTGTGAGAGAACTAAATTGAACGCTAATTTTGGCCAGTGTTTGTGACCAAGTGGTTACTAAAAAAGACTGGACATACCCCATTTGCAATACTTTGGGTTGTCTTCTGCAAATTGTATGCCATCATGGGGGTAATTCTCATTCCTGGGCTACCATACACTCTCAAAGGCAACGTAACCAACCTGGCCTTTTTCAATGTAAAAATATTTGACCCTGTAACTTTCATAACATTATAAAACCTGTACATGGGGGTACTGTTATATTCGGGAGACTTTGCTGAACACAAATATTAGTGTTTCAAAACAGGAAAATTATCACAACTATATCAGTAAAAGTGCTGTTTGTGTGTGAAAAATGCAAAAGTCGCTTTCACTGCCAATAATGCAGTGATAGGTTTTATTGTTTTAAATCACTAATATTTGTGTTCAGCGAAGTCTCCTGAGTAAAACAGTACCCCCCATGTACCGGTTTTAGGGTGTCATAGAAAGTTACAGGGTAAAATACAGTGCTAGCAAATTAAATTCTCTGGACTTTTGGCCTGGGTTGGCAGGCAGGTCCCTCAAATTGCAATCAATAAAATTACTGATTTATGTAAAAAATATTGCATAAATACGCGTGTAGAATTTTTGTGTATGCACATTTATATATTTGAAGTCTACATGTATATTTATGTAATTTTGTATATGGACATATGTATATTTTGTTTTATATATAGATATATACAATTTCATTCTAAGTGTTTTGATAGTAATATTTATATCAAAATAGTTAGAATAAAATTTCAGATATATTTAAAACTTTTATTATTTTTACATGTTTTTATTTAATTTAAATTACTTATTTGTATTTTATAAAAATTTATATACAATATATAATTTGTACATATTAATATAAAAATACTTAGTATGACATTATATATATATGTGGACATATCTAGATATGTCTATCATATATACACATATATAATTTTTTTTTTTTAAATTAACTTTAACTTTAATTTTTTTTTATGATTTTACACTAGCAGGGAGACTGCCTGTCAGCACAGGGAGTCCACCTACAGGCAGACACATGGACACCTATTGTGACCATGTGATCGCTAAGAGTGATCACATGGCCACAGGGGTCCTAATCCGCCGTGGGGAGACTCTGGGCTGCAGACAGTCTCCCCACAACGGGAGCAACACCGATCGCCGCCGGGGGAACGACTTGCGATCGGGTAAGTACATTGGACCGTTAGGACGGTTCAGGACAGTCACCGGTCGGTAACGCAAAAATGCAGATGACGGTCCTGAACCGTCCTCAGTCCTTAAGGGGTTAAAAGTAGTCAAGGCGGTATGAGTCTGTGCAGTGGTTTAAAACTACCTATACTCAGATATGCCTTTTTATTTTATTTTGGGTAACTTGTAACTTGGCCTTTAACTTTGTTCTGAACTTGTAATGTCAATTCTGTGCAAAAATGAGTGCTGCAACAGACCTAATCTTCTGTAGGCTTTGCCTGCAAAACGAAGTGTGTCCTGTTAGACATTTTTTATGTCCCACAATTATCCTTGCAATCCTCCTCTCTTCTTCATCTCTTTATACCATTTATTCTTTTAATATCCCTCCCTGCCTCCCTACCCTTAATGTCTTGGCACAAACATGCACTTTGAGATAGAACGATGCAATCAAGTGATCTTTTGAGAAGAATTTGATTGGGCCACGAGTGGGCAGCTGTGTCAGTACAGGGTGCAGTCTGGTACTGTATTCTGGGTAAATCTTTTCTACAGGGTCTTATGGGAGTTGCTAATAGTGTCCAATAGGGCATTCTAACTTTTTAAATTCCTTAAAAGGGTTTGAGTAACCCCTTTAAAAATATGCTGCATTTCATAGGGGATTCTGCAAAATCTCGTTGTGCTCCTTTCAATCTGACTCATACGCCCAGCCATCTGCTTGTGCTGTATGATCCGAAGCAGGAGTGGCCAGAGAGCAACTCCAATGTGGTAGAACTTCCAACTCCTACTTGCAGACTAGCAAGGAATGTTTGTAGTCCAGCAGATAGGGATACCTTTTCAGCCACCGCTGATAAATTACTCTAATCCCTGTATGACTAGGCATTTTTCAGCTTGCAGGAACTTTGTGTTGTGCATAATGCTGTGACATGTGGCAGACAACCTCACAGATGCTATCAGACTGGCTGCTACAGAGATCACATAATAGGGAGAAAGGAAACAATAACATTCACAAGCAAATGTCTGATTTGTTTTGATGCTACTTGCAGTGCTGTGTAGCACCCACTGAATGGGTTAAGGCAAGTGGTGAGTGATGCATCGTCTGTGCATTATTTGCATGTTCATGGTCTGCGTGCTGCATTAGGCTTGTAGCAGAGGTAGTGCTGTTGCCTGCCTAGTCCCCTCTATGCAGATCTGTAATATTCTGTGTATCCGCCCAGTCCCGGGGGAGGTGCCTGTGCAGGCATTGCTGCCACTTGTTGCTCTATATCGTGGCACAGAAGCAGCATCTGCAGAGGGGCTCAATCCTGGTAGCTGCTACAGAGGTGGGTCTGCCTTGGTCAGTGCAGTTTGTCCCTTTTTTTACATTCTTACTGTGCATATTCTATGCAGTTACTGTAGGTCTCCTGTAAATAATTTTTTTTAGCAGAATATTTTCTATACAAGGTGTTCTGTCTAATCACAGCTACGGTCCTGCGTTACACTCATTTGTAGACAGATCCTTGTAGAGATTGCCTTCTGTTGGTAACAGTTGGTACAGATCAGTCATATGACCTTAAATCTTATTATCTGCATCTAAATTTAGAGGTGTAGGGTGTAGCGATGCCCTTCCCTGTGAAATTGCTGCGTACTGCCAGTTTGTGTAGAAACTGAAGCTGTGGGTACATGTTGTGGCCCTTTTCAATATAATGCTTGAAACATTTGTTTACAGCAATATTCTGGTATTTCTGGTTGAAGGCTTCAGAAAACCACCCTGGTTGCCAACGCAGTGTGCTTGCAGACATTACAAATGTTGTATACATTGCACTGAAAATGACAATTGCCTTAGTCATGTGACCTGGTTAATGATCTAATCTGTAGTATTGGCAAGACTTTAATGGGATAAATATTTACAGAACTTAATTTTGTTTAAAAAAATAATGCCTTAACATCTTGTGCTCCAGTTTGGCACCTGCTAGGATCTCTGAAATGTTTATACCTTCTATGTTGCTTTAAGCCATTAGTGTTCACTGTAAATCAGCGTTAACATTTTATTAGTGTAAGTCAACTAAAGGGTTTGGAGAGTTGAGCTTTATTACATACGTAGACCCTTAGAATTGTTTGTTCCTTTTTGAGTGCATGAACAGATTGACTTGCTCATCTTCTCTAATGAGCTGATTGTGAAGTGTAGATGTGAAAATGCTGTTTTTTTTTTTTTGTTTTTTTTTTTGCAAGGCTAAAATAAATTGTGTTCTGATGCAGTTTCTCCAGGGAGGTTTATATGTATGTCTGTGACACTCTTTATGAACCTACACTCCCACTGGGTTTTGTTTTTGTGTATGCCTTGTCAATTCTGGCAAATGAGACCAAGGCTAGGCAGGCCTGAGATACTGTAACGGTCAGAATGTGGCTGCAGTAATTGCAATCTCGAGATGCTCTTTGCCTGCCTCTATTGGAAAATTGCTGTCATACACGGAGTTTGTCAGAATTAACAGATTTATCACACAGATTGTAAACTGCAAAAATGGCAAGTTTGAAAAATTCCTTTAAAGCAAAGCCGTGAGTACAACTGACTGAGACCTTTTGTATGCATTGTGCAGTTTGCCTTTGAGAATCCTGTTTAGTGACCAAATCCCACTGGCGCTTACATCGCAAAAATATTACTGTTGCCTGGCTTTCTTGGCGATATATAGAAATATGCACTGTGTAGGTATAATTAGATTAATCCTTTGTTACACATGTGCTGAATTGTGATCCTCCTTTCTCAGTGTATAATTGTGCTAATCCCACTGGGCTTGGGCTGTCTGACATATGCAGAGCTGTAATTTGCCATGTCTAGAAACTTTCTCTCATTCCCTTGACAGATTGCTTGTTAAATGCTGCTTATTCTACCTGTGAGCTGCTCTACTTTTGTGACTAACTGGTGAGCAGTGTTTTCATTAAAAGCCTTTGTTTGAAATGGAATGCCCATTGATGATATTCTATGCCCCCCACCCCCATCCATAATAAATGCTCAGTGTTTAAAAAGAATTTACTTGCCTTAGTCTAGCGCCAGGTGAAGCTCCCTGACGCTTATTGGCGCATGACCTTGTGAGACAATAGGAGCTGCACTGAGGTCCCATCAAAGGCTCCTCATAAGCCTTTGGAGTATTTCATGGGGATCAGAGCACATTGCAGGATGATGTATTACTCATAATACAATATTCTATCATCTGTTACAGATTAGGTTTGTGGTAGGAATTTGCCCCTAACAAGCTTGGGTACAATATGCTAGGAAATGAATTCTTGTAAGACTGGCTACTCAAGTGTTTACCAGTTATGTGCAAACTTACCATGCAGCACTGAATCTTGAATGCCATGGCTGGGAAAAAAAATCTGTTCTTGCTGGGGTAAGCAACATTCAGCACACCACTTTGCCAACATATGGGTTGCTTACCTCTGTGTTAAGGGGATGAGATGCAATTTAAAATAATCCTGTGCAATATATATTTTTTTTATACCAGGGGAAGAGTGATGGTGTTAGGACTTATTTTCCTGATCCTTTATTTTTATTTTTTTAGAAAGATGATTTAGGAAGAGCTAAGGACTGCTGGGGTTGCCCCTCTGATACCCCAGCACTTTCCACCTGCAGCAATGCTGACATATTCCGCCGAATTAACGCCATGCTAGACAATTCCCTGGATTTCACTGGTGTCTGCACCACCCCCAATTCCAAGGGCAAATGTGACCACCTGCATGGTAAGTGATTTGTTAATCTTTATTCTGGTTAGATATGCCTGGGTGATATCATCATGATTTCCTGTTCTATATGCTCATTGGAGGAGTAGACTTAAGTGGCCATAATAGATCTCCTTAAACATTAAAACTATTTCCCACAATACTCTGCCAGTCTAAACATGGCAGATTAGTTCTGTAAGAGCTGGCTGAAATCTACATTTGCCCTGCTTTGTAGATGTAGTGACTGTTTTTTAATATAAAGCTGCTGATGGGGTTTTAGAAAGAATTTGGCATTAAAAGGACTCTAGTGCCTGCAGTCGTCTTGTCTGTCTTGAAACGGCTTATGGCAGTTTATGTAAAGACAACACATTCCGTGTTGCTGTACAATGGGTAAAAAAAGACAAAACTTTTAATTCTAACACATGACATAAGAGAACAGTAAATGAAGGGCCCTGCATAAAAGAGCTTAAAATATTAAAATAGATCTGTGTAATTGCTATGCTAGACAACTGTGCAGTCACCTTTTAAAGGTACCCTGCCACGTGGATTTTAGACGTGAATTAAAGATATGCCATTTTGGTACTGTACTGTGAGGTGCTCCTGCCATAAACGGTACCACGCATTCAAATCTGACGTTGGCAGGGGGTGAAGAGTTCCCCGGCGCTGGAGAAAGGTACATGGTTGAAGGGTTTTTAACCCATTCAGCCCAGTGGGTGGGGGACCTAATGACCCTATAGTGCCAGGAAAACTAGTTTGTTTTCCTGGCACTATAGTGCTCCTTTAACTACTGCCACTTGGAAAACTAATCTGTAAGAAAGTTTACGGGACCAGTTTTGCGCACCATAACTTCATCAAAATACAGTTATGATGCCTGGGGGTGTCCCTGGTGCTGGCTCACCTTTGGATTTTGTTTGTAAGTTGTTCAACCTCTAAAATCTGTTCCAGCACCAGATCATGCTCCTCCGTCCTCTTACTTTCTAGATAAGGAAAGACATGGACAGGGGTGATACTGATGTATGTACCTTTTTTCAATTTTTTTTTTTTAATGAATTGGGAGCTATTGATTGTCTTAGAGCATCAGCTTACCTCTCTAAACCAATCAGTAGCACCCCTGCTCAAGCCTTCCGTTATTTAGGATTTTAGAAAACAAGACAGGGGCCCGAGTGATCACCGTTGGAGCACTGACTTTGATAAATGGTTTAACAGCTAATAGTGAGCCAGCAAGCTCATGGCACCATAACTTATTTTCAATGAAGTTATGTTGTCCAAACTAGTTCTTTAAGGATGTGAATACTTGGTTTACGTGTTTTTTTTTTAAATTCAAAACAAGTTACCAGCTTATTATCCCATATGCATTTAAATAGCTAGAGGTAAAAGTGTAAGCTCACCTGCCACGTCAAGGCAAACCTCTTAGGCGAGTCCTAGACTAGCAAATTACCTTGCTGTTTTCAGCTTTAAGGTAATTGAGATTGGTAGTTTTCTGAACACTACATACTTATTAACCAATAACCGTTGCAGCCACCCAGGACTTTTGAGCATAGGGCTGAATTTTCTTTGTATTTGCTTCTGTATTACACAGCTATGTTGGTGCGGCTGCCCATGTTTTCCCAGTTTAGGATTTATAAATGGTGTAGGGATTAAGAAAAATGCCCCTCTCTCTCATTAGAGATTTTTTCCTTTTGACTGAAAACTGCAAGGTGATTTGTTAGTGTAAGACTCTTCCAAGAAGTTTTGACATGACATGGCAGGTGAACTTGCACTTTAATGGCCATTGGAGTGATACAGAATAAAACTTCCAGTTATATAAATGTGCATTGGGATCTGGGATAGTGTGCAAGTTACTTTTTTGGGGGGGATTTTGTTTTATGTATTTGGGCTGATGTATACTGTAGCATTGCTGCTGCCGAGAAGTAGTTGGGAGTATTATGCATGTTTTAGGCTACCAAAAATAAACCAATAAAACTAAAGAATTTTATTAAACTTTTTAAATTCTTTTTCATCCTACTGTGGCAGATATGGTGCTGGAGCACCAGATAAATTGGACAGAACTAGGTTACACCTCACCCAATAACAATTACAGGAGGTTGTAGTTCACTAGAATGCAGAGAAATTTAAATTTTATTTATGTAGCGCCAGCAAATTCCATAGTGCTGTACAATGAGTGGACTAACAGACATGTAATTGTAACCAGCCAAATGGACACACAGGAACAGAAGGATTGAGGGCCCTGCTCAATGAGCTTACATGCTAGAGGGAGTGGGTATAATGACACAAAGGGTATAAGTAGGGGTAATGAAAGACTTTGCTAGAAAAGGGGAATGAAAATCCGCTAACAGTTTAGATGATATGCCTTCCTGAAGTGTTTTCAAAGATTTTTTTTTGTGGAGACTTGATGAGTCTAACGGAGAAGGGAAGGGAGTTCCACAGAAAAGGTGCAGCCCTGGATAAGTCTTGAAGGCGAGCATTAAAGGTGGGAGTACGGACAGAGGATAGACCTAGGGGTCTCGACGGGACATACTTGTGTATTATGGAGGATAGGTAGGTTGGAGCAGCATTATGTAGGGTCTTGTAAGAAAGTACCAGAATCTTAAATTGAGCCATTGTAGTGATGCACAGAAGGGTGAGACGTGGGAGGCGCGGTGGATAGGAAGATGAGCCTTGCCACCACATTGTTTATGAACTGTAAAGGCACGAGTTGGGAGCATGTAAGACCCCTGAGAGGCAGATTACACTTGGGATAGGTGGGGGTGATGCTGTGGAGGTAAAAATCACCCTTTGGTCCTGGTCTGGGGTACATCACCAGAAATGCTAGAGACCTAGTTTTTTGCATATTGATGTGCCTCAGTGGGTGTTAATATAGTATACTCTGCCAGGTGTTCACTGTAAACAAACACACTTATTGGTCACTTCTTGCGATCTGGTTGTGCAAATCTCTGGATGTGACAGTTCAACTTTAACTCATCCACTATACTGGTCTTTTCTACAATCTGCCTTTCCATTCACTTATCAGTCTTTGTTAAATTTGTAATAATACTATGGTTTCCAACAAGGACAGCTTAGACAAACTCACTGTTCAGGAAAATAAAATCATAAGCCCAAACTGGTCAGTCTTTGCACTGGGAGGCATTATGAGAACAGTGCTAGTAAGGTGAAATTGGGGAAGTGACAGTAATTGTTTGACATAAGTAGGTAAATGTAAAATGGCAGTTACCACCCAAGATGCGATAAAGGACAAGGGATACCTGTTTAACATCAAGACAACTTGGCTATTGAGACATATCAAGGCAAAGGAATAATTGCTGGCTTGAACAGCTTACTGAAGTTGTTATAGTGCCTCTAGGCCTTCCACCCCTGTGCTACCCCCAAAATGTAATCTATTTAGAAGTGTGGCTTAGTTATGCCTTCAAGCCCTCTGGGTACTAGCTCTCATAACTAGGCATACTGTAGCAGAACATGCTCAAGCACAATATCACCATATGTCATAGATTTATTGCTTGCAAAGATTTTCTGACAGAATCATAGGCATGCAACATAAGACTACTCCCAGTGCTTATCGGAGGATCATTGGATGGTCATTATCCAGGATGACTCTATCAAGGAGTAGGCAGCTGCGCTGGAGAAAATTGGCTACAATTTATTAGTGCATGGAGTGGGCCATAATTGGGTCAAGGGTACTACAGTGTTAAATATACAGATTTGTATTCGGAATGCTAATTTTCCTTTAAGGCATTCTATTGGTTTCCATGGTAATTGCCAATTGGCCCTTAGCCCAGAATTGCTGGTGTTTTTTTGCTTTGATTCCCCTGTGAAACTGCAGTCATGTAAAGCCAGGCTTTACATTAATTCAAATGTTGCTCGTTGGAGACACTCTAAGATGCCTGGAGTCTAAAGGTTTACAACAGTGATATTTGAGAAATGTTGCAAATAAACAATTCATATGAACAACCTAGATCTCTTGTTTTGAAATAGTTTGGTAGGGGGCGCTGTGCTGCAGTTTGGCCTAGTGAAATGGTCTCTTGTAAAATGAGTTTTTTATTTTATTTAAATTTTCACTGAGATCCACAAAAAGCACACTAATCAAAGTTAGTGAAAGAATCGTAATCACTACAGCCTTAAATAGTAGTTATACCCAGAGTACTCTGCCTTGGTAATGTGGCAAACCACCTGGCAACATTTAATCACCTTACCTGGGTGTTTTTCAGGCTCTGATGCTCCCTAGTGGTCTAGTGAAGGTGTCAGCTGACTGCTATAAGCCAACAAATGCATTTTTGTACAGCGACTGTTGCACAGAATTGACATTAGCAAGGCAGGAACTCTAGTTACAGCCCGACAGACATTCCAGTGCCTGCTGCCGGTTGTGGGGTTACAGCTCTGGCAGCAGAGGGGTTAATCTCCATATGTACAGTTTTCAAAATCACTCTGCTTATAGACTTCAGGCACCATGACCACTGCAATCACTGAAGAGGTCATGGTGCTAGAATTAACACCTCAAAATGGACACTGATAAAGTACTAAAGATACTCTCCAGCATTACCATTTCTCCTAACTTGTTTAATGAACAATCTCTTGATATAGACTGCATGCAGGGTCAGCTCATATAAACAAAGCACTGTGCTGGGTGTCATTAAGTAAATAGATGCAAACTAGTGACCATTGTGGGACTGGCCAGTCCTGGATGCGGAGTGTGGTCCTGAGAAGCCTCTGGTCTAACTAAGACACCATTTCATTGTAACTTCCACGAATACTGAGAGAAATGGCACCTCCAATTTTTTTGACATTGCCACTTAATACACTATGTGGAGAAAATTGGGGCAGCAGTGTTGGGATCTTACTGTGGGTTCAGGGTTTTAATGCAGTTGGGTGTAGGGTTAATACAGGTGTAGAGTTTAAATATTGGTGCATGTAGTACTCTGAATTCAATAATTTAGTGTTGCAATGTTTAACACAAATGGTTTTTACATAGAACATGGTATAGGGCAGGCATTGGCAACTTTTGGCACTTCAGATGTTTTGGACTACACCTCCTATGATGCTTTGCAAGCATTATGGGTGTAAGAGCATTATGAGGGATGTAGTCCACAACATCTGGAGTGCCGAAGGCTGCCTACCCTTGGTATAGAGCTTGCTTTAGGAGAGTCTAAAGTGTATATGGGAGCAGCCATTTAACTTGCCTTTTGGCTGAAGCCCCTGTCTTTAAATACATGTATCACGGCTAGTTGGTAGTCTCATATTTGTCTTCTAAAACTCAATGCATTGAGAGGCTAAAGCACGCTTGTAAATCTCTGTACCCCCCAGGAGTTGCTGTATTAGAACGCCCAAGATTCTTACCATCTTCTGCAGCCAATGTATTCAGGGAGTTGTACATGGTAACCATCTACAAGCTGTGTAGTTTAGGTGTACAGCAAATATACTGATGTGCAATAAACAGCCATTTTGGTTTGTAAAATGCTGAGTGAATCTTGCTTGTCAGTTTCCTAGGTCTGTCAGCCATTGAGCTGTAACTAAAGAATTGCTCTTGCACACAAACTTTATTGAGAATCATTAAGCAGTGCTTACACTGTGTGATTAAGCACTTTTGAGCTCATTCCTTTAACAATTTTGCCACTGTAAATGCACATTTGAAGCAGACTTGCTTAGCTCGATTCTGTATATTTGAGAATGGAACGTTACTGTGCAGCTTGTCTTGCAGTATTCAGAGAAAGTTATAGTGCCTTTAAAAAGAAACCTTCATTTTTTTCCCAATGCATTTCAATGACTGTGCAGTACTGACTCATGCACTCTGATTGGTTAGGGGGGGGGGCCGGGGCCGGGGCCTCTACAAAATGCTTATAATGAATGGGATAAACATACCCCTGAAAAAGTACTGTTTTATCAAAACCATATAAAGAACTTCTATATGTGCAAACTACCTGAGGTCTAAAATGCATTGCTAACATGTACTGTAACTGTGTAGCACTAAAAACTAATATGACCCCCTTGTCGACAATTGGGTTTAATCAATGGAAAAACATGATATTGGGGACATAGTGCTAAATAGGCTGCATTCTCCCTGGGAACTCAGCATTTCTGCCCCGAATAGCACCTTGATTAATGTCCCAGTATAAAATATCCAATCTGCTGTGGTTATAACCTGTTACACAATACTGGATACTTAGTCCTCCTGTAATGTTGCCCAGGAGAATGCAGCTTATCTCTGTTACTGGTGAACAATGCTGTACCAGTCCAGCTCTTGACTATGCCACGAACAAACCGATTATGCTAGCACAATGGGGAAGCTCTGCGTTTGTGGTGCTGATTCAGGATTGGCACTTTTCCAAAGCTGTGTGGGAGGAGTTGATGAAAGGGATGGAGGCAGGGTTGCTCACAGCAAAGTGCCTGCATTTTGTGTGCACAGGAGACTGCTTAAATCTTAACGATTGCTGCCTTTAACAATATTTCTGGCTTAAACGGAATCATCTGTATAACTTGTTTCTGTGGATTGACACAGCCCTTCTGATTTCAAGATCTAGGTGTAGCCCCAAATAGATGGCAGCAGGTATCTTTCGACCTGCTGCAGGTGGAATGCACTCTGAGGGCAGCTAAATCTCTGCTTTTAATGTATATTCTTGTTTTTGAGCAGACTTCCCAGATACAGAGGGAGCTGCTACAAGCAGGATGCTGTTCCCCTCCTCACATGACCCTCCTCCTCGCGGCCTTCCCGACACAAACGACTTGTGCCTTGGTCTGCAATCTCTTAGCCTGACTGGCTGGGACAGACCCTGGAGCACTCAGGACACAGAGGCTGCCGGACAGTCCAGCTCTCACTCAGCTGCTCAATCAGGTAAGGGTTCACTATTCTCAAAGCTGTAAAATGTCAATGTGCTGTTATGTAGTGGGATAAACTGTGGACCAGTTTGCTGGGTTAATTGTGTAAAGAGCAGAATTTTAACTGATACAAAAGAATGCAGTGTTCCAAATCTACAGTAATTCAATGAACCCATAGATGCCATTTAAAATGTAGTTCTACAGAATATAAATACTTTCCTCAAGGTCTCTAAATAAATGTGCTGTGTTCTAACTGAAGCTTTGAAATCTTAAAGCATGTCATGTTCCCTGACCTTAAGTGCGGCTACCACCCTTATCGTGATGATGCATATGTTTGGCTGGAAAATGGCTTGCAAATCACAGCAAGAGCAGTATATAAACACAATGGTAATTGTGTTAGAGCAACTAAACTGCTGCCCACCCGTAGTTGCTCTTAACTCTTATGTACTGAGGATTTATGCTAATTCTTTAACCCCTTAAGGACCAAACTTCTGGAATAAAAGGGAATCATGACATGTCATGTGTCCTTAAGGTGTTAAAGGACCACTATAGTGCCAGGAAAACATACTAGTTTTCCTGGCTGTATAGGGTCCTTGGGTCCCCCTCACCCTCAGGGCCCCCTTCCTGCTGTGCTCTAGGGTGAGGAAGGGGTTAATCCCTTACTTTTTTCCAGCACTGGGTTACCTCTGTGCTGGGGACTCTCATCCTCCTTTCCCGTCATCGGTTAAATGTGCATGCGCAGCACACGCATTCAGCCTCTCTCATAGAAAAGGATTCTCAATGCTTTCCTTTGGACGCTGGCATCTTCTCACTGAAAATCTGAGAAGCGCCACTAGAGGCTGGATTAACCCTAATGTAAACATAGCTGTTTCTCTGAAACTGCTATGTTTACAGCAGAAAGGTTTAATCCTAGATGGACCTGGCACCCAAACCACTTCATTAAACTGAAGTGGTCTGGGTACCTATAGTGGTCCTCTGAAAGTATCAGATATAATACACGGCATTAAATGAGTTCTCTAAAAGCAAACAGGTTATCTTAATGTAGTGATTTTGGTTCATAGATGCTACCTCTTCTAACAAGATAAAACGTGACAGTTTCTGAGAAATGACAATACTTGACAGGCTCAAGAGGCACATCCTACTAAAAACCTTTGATTTTCTAAGGTCTTGTCTTTGTGTTATTGTGTTGTGCATCATGATGCTGAATGCGGCTAATGCATATCCTAGAGAAGCATTCGATTCAGTGCTTCCCTGTTAGCAGTGAATGGGATTGTTGCACTTGTGCCATGTCTGTTGTGCTTCTGAGAAACATTGTTGGACCAGAGATGGTGTTCTTACTATGGGAAGATCAGCCAACTGCAAGACTGTATTCACATTACAGGAATTAATGGCTCACTTCTGTATTTCATAGATATATTTTTTTTTTACAAAATACTGATGCTGACTGTCATCTCTTTGGATTTCACTGACTTTTTCAGTGCAAAGTATGGACTGCTTTGTTTTATGGTAAAGCCAGTGACAAAAGGAGAGAGCGTCTACCATAAATGGCTGGCCAATACAGCAATCACTAGTGAGAGCTGTGGGACTGTGCTTATTACACGATAACCTCAGTGTTGTACTTTCATGTATGCACAAGAGTACAATACTAGCTTCTGGCAAGTGAAGCATCAGGAGCCAGACCTCCAGGCAGATGGCGGCAGCCATGGATGACTGCTTCAGGTAAGTAAACCTGCCTTTCACTACACCTTGCAGCCATTGGACTGTATACCTAGTTTGCAAAGACCCTCAAAAGTGACATCTCTGGTTAAACACCTGCTTAAGACTTGACAATTTACAAATCTTTAATCTCCTGTAACTCCCAGTGACACTACCTGTCATTCAGAGGAGCCAATGGCACATGATTCCGCACAGTAGTCTTGGTTACAAAAGTCACTGGACTAAAAACATGGAGAGCTTCTACAGAATGTTTATTGGCCTTAATGAACAAAGGTCTAGTTCAGTCATCAAAAATCTAGACATCAGATATTAAAGCTTAGTCAAATGTCTTCGGTTTTTCCTGTTCACTGAAGAGTAGACAAATTAAAGTTTACAACCCTTTGTTTGTTTTTTGTTTTGTTAACCTCTGTCAATCCTAATTTTAATTATTTCAACTGGTAAGATGCATTTACTGCAACTTGTGTGCAGATTGATTTTCATGCTGTCTACATGCATTGCATATGAACATAGAATAAGGCTGTGTCTGCAGCTACCCTTTATTCATATTCAGGCCTAAATTTGACTGTTATAAGGGACTTGCTTAACTGGCTCATAAAAATTGCAAATACAATATTTTTAAACTTCAAGGGGGATTTAAAATGCCAGAATGCAGCAATGTGCTTTCTCTAACAGTCAGTGCCTAGATGGACAGTCTAGCTAGATAAATACAACACAGGCTGGTAATGTAACAGCATAAACACTGGACTTTAAATGTATGTATTTTTCTAAATCTACTAACTTTTGCACATGTGAATATTTGCTCTGAATTATCGTTGTTATGGCTATGAAACGGATTCCCTGGAAACTGTCAAATCTCAGTCCTAACACTTAAAGCATTTAGTACGAGCACTCTTTTGTTTTAACCCAGCACTAACGTGCAAAGAAGTTTCATTTTGTCGTCAAGCCTACAATTTCTAAAGGTTTACTCCTCAATTACCATGCTGGTTGTTAAAATTTTAATCCAGTTCAGGTTATCAAGCATTATAGGATTTTTTAACTTCTTAAGGAGCTCTTTATTATAGAATCTCCTGCAGTCCATTAGTTTGCATCAGCACGGGTCATTTTGTGCTTTCATAGTCCATGGGCAGATTGCAATGACGGTGCAGAATGTTTCTGGTTCTAAAGGGATTTACTGGGCAGTCCTGGTTTTAATCCCCGCAAGATCATTCCTGCAATGATGCAGCATGAAGGCCCTATGCAGAGCAGTGGGTGTACAGTGCCAAGTCTGTCCTAAAATAGATCCTGCAGGGGAATAAGGGCTGTAATTCAGGTCTTATTGATCAGTGTAAAGCGTAATTTAGCTTTCCTGTCTCTACAACACTTTTTAGCTCAAACTACTGTACAAAAACACACGTTAAGGAGGTTTCCTTTCTGCCTACACAACGCCATCTGTTCAGTTAATTCTGAGCAATAGTCTGCTTGTGCAAATACTGGGTAGTTATGGTTTTAATCTTTGACATTCTTTGTTCTGTCAAATATAAACTTATAAAGTTGTGAATATTTGCATCGATTTCAAGAACTTTTCATTGAGGTATATCCCTAAAAGCAAAATGGAATGTCTATATTGTGTGCATTCTAGATTCCTGTAAATGTCAGTCAAAAAAATTATTTTTCTAATAACCCCTACTTCACACTTTTAAAAGTAAGAATGTCGAAGTGTCCATTTAAAAGTAACGCAGTCCAGCCACTAACCAGGTCATGACCAGAAACACAGATGGGGTCAGACATTTCTCTCTGACTACCTCTAAAGCTCAAGACCTGTTCCATGAGCTCATTCTGTGCTTAGAAATGTATGTCCCCTGAATACAATTGGTATGGGAAAAGGTTTCTAGCTGCCTTGTGTTTGCAAATGTAATTAAAACTAAAACAAAACAAACTCCTACATAAGGAAAAGTAAGGACTACCTTCCCTTGTGAATAACCTACAGATTAATTAAATGATTAGTCAACCTCCATGTCCTGTCATTGGCTGTTCTGGTCAATACCTGCGCCCTTTCCCAAAGTTACAAGACTGAAGCAAGGCATCACAGATCCCCCAGTGACTGTTGCACCATCACTAGTCAACTGAGTGTGTGCACTGGACATGTCCTAGGGAGGGCATAATTTCCAGATGACATTGTAGACACTGCACATCAAAATAGGGTAAGATCTGCTCCCGGGGCCTAGAGGGTGCAAGGTAAGTAGCAGGTTTTATATATGTAAGGCTTTAAGCAAAATTGGAGGTCACTTCCTTTGTGGAGTATCACTTTAAAGAATCCTTGTTGGTGACATCCAGCCCCAATGCATCATTAAATCTGTTTTTGTCTTCTAGTTTTCAGCATGTTGAACAGCCCTCTGGGAAAGCAGCCACCTCTAGGATTCATGCCCTTAGATCCTATTGGTTCGGACCTCGTTGAGAAGTACTCTAACCCACTGCTTCGTGGTTCCCGCTTGGATAGTCGTTCCATTTTAGATTCCCGCTCCAGCAGCCCATCAGACTCTGACACTAGTGGGTTCAGTTCTGGCTCAGACCACCTTTCAGACCTAATTGTAAGTTGGGTGAACAGTTTGCCTGCTGGCTTGAGTAGCCACAAGTGGTTTACTAGCACTATAAAACAAGTTGTGCCTTGGCTTTTAGTCCTAGTGAACTGGTCTCTAAATGATAAAAAAAATGTAATTGTGTAATGCCACATTCAATGCTTTGAGGTTTTTTTCCCTTGGGTTTTTATGCCACCTTATGGTAGTGACCTGTAACATTATGGTCAGCTGAAGTTACTTTATGGATTTAAATATAAATCGTTCCCCTTATAACATTCTTGTAGAGGCTCCAAAGTAGCCTCCACCTGTGTGGACTTTAGATATTTGTGTATGTGTTAATGCATAATGGATACTTGAATGACAGATACTTGAATGCTAGTGCTCTTGCCAGAAATAGCATGAGACTGTAGCACCACTTATAACTTTAGACATATAGCTATACAGCCACCAGGGCTTAATTCTGCTAGCCATTGGAAAGTGAGTACCTAGCTGAGGGTGCTACAGACCTAAAGGCTTGGCTAGTACTGTAGGACTATGATTTTCACAGCATTACTCCAAGCATCATAACCACTAGACCCCCTGCTGCATTGGTTATGCCAGAAGTACTCTCCCCACTTCCTGATAATAGGGCAAACTGTCTTGCATGCTGGTTCCAGCGGTGTGCAGAGGGATGCAGATCCTGCTGGCCATTCATTGGCTGATGGGGTCAACTGACAGCTTTCAGTCAGTCACATTCTGTGCATATAAATATGTACAGAATTGACATTTGCCAGCCAAGAATTTTTTTTACGCCTTTACACATCTGACCAAGTCACTGGGTATTGATCTGATACAATAATGCACAGAATGTGATTTAATGCATGCTGAGTAAAGCGGCAGTATGCTATGGCCTTAACATGCATCTTTCTCTCTGCAGTCCAGTCTTCGCATCTCGCCCCCTCTGCCATTTCTCCCCCTGGGAAGTGGAGTGTCGAGGGACCCTCTGAAGCTGGGGCTTGGGTCAAGGCTTGAGCAGGAACATGCTGCCCTAGCTGCAGCTACTGCATCCCCTATGGGGATGTCTAAGAGATGGCCAGCAACTTCAGTCTGGCCCTCCTGGGATCTTCTGGACTCCTCAGATGACCCATTCAGCATTGAAAGGGAGGCACGACTTCACAGACAAGCAGCAGGTAAGGGCAGAAGGTTTATCAGTTTATTCAGTTCAAGGTCTCCAACATGTTTTGTTAATCCAAAAAAATTTACATTGGTATGACTTGCATGCATAACTTTTCAGAAATTATGGTTAACCATAATTTCTTTTATATGGTCATCTGATTTAATAGTGTAGAAGAAATTGGCTCCTATAGGTAAAAAAAAGGGGCAAAATCATAAGTTTGAATATAAACTCTCCCTTGGCTGAAATAGGTGAATTGCAAAGTTTATACGAAGCAATATAAAATGTGTAAAATCATAAACATGTATATAATGTATATCACCAATCAGACTGGATAAGTAGAAAAGTCTAGTTTAAATCTTGATTTGCCTTATTTGTCTACCTAGTGTACAGCATTACACTGTACTTCTCCTGTTTCAGCCTATGAATTCAGAAAGATCCAGGCTAGCAGAGCCTTGGTTGTATGTTTTGCAGTTATACATTCTTATCCATTACTTAACATTATTTGAGTTTAATTTTTTTATTTGGCACAGCTTCTCTTCCTCTTGAATTGCATCCTACTAATACTGTAAATAGCTTTAAGTACACAATTTCAATTAAGTAGCCCTCTTACTAAAGTAATTGCTAGAGGAGAAGCATGACTTTATGAAAAACGCCTTTGTTTTTCAACGGTCTCTTCAGTGGTTTAAGAGCTTCATGCTTTTTGTGTAATTTAAAAAATTGGAAACACTCCATGAATTAAGCAATCCTAACATTTTGGTAGTCTAAGTTCTGCAACTTTAAAACCAGTTTGTTTTGTAGGATGTATGGAAACGCACAATGTAAAGTTTGGAACAAAAGCCTACATAGACAGTTGTGTAGGACCATTTCTGAGATTCTGTATTGCTTGCAGCAAAGAACACTGACCTTGTGTCACACTCACTTTAATTGTCAGTCTCTTCCTACATTTACAGCTGTGAATGAGGCTACATGCACATGGAGTGGACAGCTTCCCCCTCGTAACTACAAGAACCCAGTCTACTCTTGCAAAGTTTTCCTTGGTGGTGTTCCCTGGGACATAACAGAAAGTAAGTTCTCAGCCTTTAGTATATCTTGGCTCAACACTTACCTGGTCAATGATTTATTTGGTGTGCTCTACACCATTCAGAATCCTGGCATATACAAAGATTTTCTATAATCCACAGGCTATTAAAGTAGCACTCTAGCACAACATGCAAACATGGATTACTAGCATTAGTGTTAAAACTTAGATCTTGGAACCCTTTATTTAGTTTAAAAGCTTTGTCGTCGTCCCGGAGCATTGGTTATGCCATAGCTACCATTCCTCCTTTGGTTGAGATAAATACTGATATCTGCTAATCCAGTGCATCCCCACTGGGAAGCATTGGGTGACTAGTGGGCATGAGCAGCAATAGCTGCACTGCACCAATCTGCATCTCCTCATAGTCTGGCATCACCATGCAGAGCAGACTGCAAAGTTGTCCCAGCAAAGATTGCAGGACTGTAAACCAGGAAGCCCCTCTGAGGTGGCATTGGTCAGCAATGTATACTCTGCCTTTTCTCAGAAAAGGCAGTTTACACTGCTTAGCTTTCTGGTTGGTACAGGTGATATGCCCCAGAAGCCCTAGTTTAGCTCTTGTAGCACAACCTTATTGGTGTACACGTATAAACAATGTATGAAAATGAATTCACCTTAAATGGAATGGCATCGTTGTAATGGGATCCTTAACAATTGTTTTGACCTTCCAAGAAGTTAAAATTGCTATTTGAATGTAGCTTCAATGCTGTGCAGTGTCACATGAGTGAACCTGCCTGCTTTATGGGCGGCACTTCTGATGTGTATTGTTACACTGCATTTTCACACCCAGTCTTTGTAGATTTTAACTTTTAATGAGCTGTTGGTATTGTTTTAGATGTTTGGACAAGCGGCATTTAAGTCTTTCAGGATCACAATGGAAGATGGTGTTCTGACACCTAATTTTTCTGAATAGAATTCCTTGATAAAAGTCTAGTCATTACACCAGACTCCTGGGAGTGTTGTAATTATCTTTCAACTCATTGAGTTACATTCTTTAAATCTTGCTTTTGCCAAGAGAGTACTTGCTGAACTGTTCAGTTGGCTATTTGGTTTAAACACCAAATGCAACTGTTTGTGTTCCTGACCCTATAGTGTTAAAACCACCATCTAACTCTCATTGCCCCTTCTTGCCTCCCTAAATATAGTAAAATCTTACTTGCATTAAAGCAGCCATCTGAGTGGCCAGTGGAGGTATTCGTAGGCCAGGCATACACAACCTTCAGCACTCCAGATGTTTTGAACTAAATCTCCAATGCTTTGTCAGCATTATGGGGGATGTAGTCCACATCTGGAGTGCCGAAGGTTGCCTATCCTTGCCCTAAGCTGTAAAAAGCTTAAAGGAAATGTTTACTCACCAGAACCAATAGAAAAGGTTGTAGTTCTGGTGACTGTAGTGTGCCTTTAATTTTACTAATGTTCATAAAGATCTTTTAAAAATGAATACGTAATGCACTTGAACAAGGCAATTAAAGTTGAGAAACTTTGGCAACATTAAGTGCCTGAGAATCCTACCTTTTTCTACTTGTTTTGCTGCTAAACAGATCCGCCTATTGCCAGTCACTGCCTTCCTTCCTGGAAATAGCCAAAGTTGCGTCTACATACACCAAGCCACTTAAAATTTAATTGGCTCTTGGTATCTCTTTAACAGACCGGGAGAGAAGAATAACTACAGTAAATGTATACTGTGCACTGACTGAACAAAGATGAAGGCTTTTTTTATATTCTGGGAATTTTGTAGGCGTGCTGTATGAGTCACAATCTGTGGCTAGAGCTGAAGAATGGTCATTTTAAGTCCTAAACTGAATGGAGCAGTTGGTGCAGAGGCATGGTTAATACACCAAAACTGCTGCGTTAAGCTGAAGTGGTTTTGGTGCTTAAACTAAACCCCATAATGCTTTCTGATTCATTTCAGCTGCAATTAACATGTGATAGGGGCATACAAATAGGTTGTACTATTGGAGTAATACCCCCCTGGATTTTCAGATTTCAATGGCTTGTAACCAGTCTGAGACTAACTTTTTAGACTTGCGTATGAGTCGGGCTACCCGGTCTGGATGTTTAACCTGTAATGCCAACAATTTATGCCCAGAGGACAGGCACAGTTGACCCATTTAAATCTGATGTGCAGCTGTTGGTTTTAAGATAAAACACATTGTATACAGGAGTGTTTTTTTCCAGCTTTTTTGTTTTGTCTGTACTTCAGTTTTGTGGTGAAGGTTAAGAGTGGTTGTGAATGGCTTATTGTAAACAGTCCACTGTGTATTCACTAATGAGTGACCAACATAGGAGTTAGGCAGGTCCTAGCAGTTGGACTTTTTCTTGTTTAAAGAAAACAAACTTACTTCAAGTGTAAATGTTTTATTAGCCATTAGTTCATAGGTGACTGCTTGTAACATGAATGCATTTTGCATGGTCTCTTCAATACCTTTTGAAATGAAGCTTGATGTTCTTAAACTTCACAATAAGCCCATCTTCAAAGCCGCATTAACTAATTTCACAATGCTTAAAATTGTTACTGACTTTGTTAAACTGCATCGACTAGTGATTTAAGTTTACCCTCCCACAGGCCTGTAACTTAATGCAGCACTTGATTTGTGTCTCATGCATAATTATATAAATGAAGGAGTAAAAAAAACTAGATAGGCTTAAGTGCACAGGGATAAGTATTAAAGTACTCAATATTTTAGAATTCGGTTTGCAACAAACTCTACACGCATGGATACATATTTTAAAATATTAAACTTTACTGTCTCATTTGGTTATACTTGTAAAAGAAATGATGCAGCTATAAGCCAGCTCCCTGACTGAGACACTGCAATGGAAGTGTCATTGTCTAATGACGCAGCACAAGTGAGATGGATGTCTTGGTCCGTAGAGCCGTGTGCAGTTGGGAGTTTTTGCCAATCTCTGCAGTCAATTTGCCAACTGATTTAGGTTGCAATGTGAGCTGATGGCACCCTGTGGGATGGCTATATTGACAAAATTCACAGAAGTGTGAATTAACATTGCCAATTTGTGAGATGGGGCTGGTCTGTGTGCCTGTTCATCTGACTGACTTTTTTAAACCGTGTATGAGCACCATAATCACTACAGCTTGCAGTGGTTAGTCCCCAGCACCAGAGTGCCCCTTTAACCATGTGTTTTTGCCTGAAGACCACATGCCTCTGCAAAACTGCATTTACTACACCCACAGATATATATTAACCTCTGGCATGGTGAAAGTGTGAAACAGCCAACCTTTCTGTTAAAGGGGCAATCATGGCACCTTAACCACTGTAAGTGGTAGTAATTGGTGATATTTTTTTGGAGCCATTTGATAAACAGGGCTTTAACCCCTTAAGACCGGAGGGCGTACTATTACGCCCTATTTTAGGCGGCTCTAAACGCCGCCGTGCGTAATAGTACGCCCTCCAGTTTTTGTTTACTTACCCGGTCGCCGGCAATCGCGGTTTGGGGGACTCCCAGGGAGCCCCCCGGCCATGTGATTGTGAGGTCCTTGCGAGGACCTCACAATCACATGGCCGGCATAGCTGGCTGCTGTATTGCCAGCAGGGGGCTGCCTGTAATGACAGTTAGTCCCCCCTGCTGGCTGGAAATAAAATCAAATAAACTTAAGTGTAAAAAAATATATGGATATATACACACCCTAGGTGTATTTTACTATTAATATATATACTATATCTCAAATTACATGTAGACTGATACTGATTAAATATAATATATAGATGTATGTTATTGTTCTAACTGTATTGTGATATTAATATATTTATATCAAAATACATGTAGAATGAAATATATATCTATATACATAAATATATTCGTATATATCACTATATGTACCTATATATAAATAAAAATATTTTTACAAAATTATATATTCGAAATATAGTTATGTAATTTTACATAATTGAGTATCTTAATTACAATTAGCGGGACCTGCCTGGCAACACATGCCAAAAGTAAAGGGAATTTAATTTGCTAGCACTATAGTTAACCCTATAACTTTCCAAGACACCATAAAACCTGTACATGGGGAGTACTGTTCTACTCGGGAAACTTCGCTGAACACAAATATTAGTGTTTCAAAACAGTAAAATGTATTACAACGATGATATCGTCAGTAAAAGTGACATTTTTGCATTTTTCGTGCACAAACAGCATTTACACGGACATATTATTGCTGCGATACTTTTTACTGTTTTGAAACATAAATATTTGTTCAGCGAAGTCTCCCGAGTACAACAGTTCCCCTCATGTACAGGTTTTATGGTGTTTTCAAAAGTTACAGCATCAAATAAGGCTTGTTTCATTTTTTTCACATTAAAATTCGCCATATTGGTTAGGTTGCCTTTGAGACCCTATGGTAGCCCAAGAATGAAAATTATACCTATGATGGCATACCACTTGCAAAAGAAGACAACCCAAGGTATTGCAAACGGGGTATGTCCAGCCTTTTTTAGTAGCCACTTAGTCACAAACACTGGCCAAAATTGGCGTTTTTTTGTATTTTTCACACAAACAAATACTAACGCTAACTTTGGCCAGTGTGACCAAATGGCTACTAAAAAATGACTGGACATACCCCATTGGGTTGTCTACTATTGCAAATGGTATGCCATTATGGGTGTAAATTTCATTCCAGGGCTACTATAGTCTCAAAGGCAACATAACCAATATGGTGAATTTCAATTTCAAATGTAACATGCTATATTTGACCCTGTAACTTCCCAAAATTCCATAAAACCTGTACATAGGGGGTACTGTTTTACGCGTGAGACTTTAGTGAATACAAATATGTGTATTTTATTGCAGTAAAAGCAAACCGTATTATGACATTGACAGTTAAAATGTCATGAACTAAAAACGAGATTCTTTTCTCCTATTTTTTTCATATTAAATTATGTTTCACAGCTAAATATTTGATAGTAAATGAAAGCCCTGTGAATAAAATGATATATAATTAGTGTGGGTGCATTTACTATGAAAGAGGTGAATTATGGTTGGACAGACATGTAGCGCAAATGCCAGATTTTGTTTTGTTCACAATGTGTACATTTGGCTCCGTCCTTAAGGGGTTAAACCGCATCTGTAGACCACTCCTGTTATTTAAAAAAAAAAAAACTGCCATTCCATCCAACTTGGGCAGCATTATGGTGAGTGGTACATTAACCTGCCCTATTGCCCATAGATTGTAGCACAATTCCCATTATGTAAAACTTACATTTGTCAGAATTCCTGTAATTGTCAACAATGTAATTTCTGTTCTATTGTCTCAAGTCCATTCTAGACAACTGCATCTGTTGGTTGTGCTCCCAGTGTACTCTATTTAGGGCTATAAAGGTAGGAATTACTACTTAGGCCTTGGTGTCTGCATGTCAGGTGGATCAGCGTCCTGGGAAAGTAAACCTAGGTAGGCTGCAGTCCTATCTACTTTGAGAGGGACTCTGCCATAATTGGATCCAAAGTGTAGCAGGAAATCACTTGGCATCTGAACACACGCCAGTCTTGGCATAGTCACTAATGTTTTAAGCATGGAGCTGTAAGCCCGGTGTGATTTGTTTTGGGATTGTTTGCAAAAAGTTTAATGTTTGCATTTATTGTGCTATATCGGTTTATGAAAACTCTAAATAAGAGATTCTATAATGCTTATAGCCCTTACGTGTGCCAAATTAGTACACTGAATGATACAGCTAAAGTGTTAACACTTACATTTGTTTTTGCAGCTGGCCTAATTAATACTTTCCGTGTATTTGGGGCTCTGAGTGTGGAGTGGCCTGGTAAGGATGGCAAGCACCCCCGCTGCCCTCCCAAAGGTAATATGCCTAAAGGTAATGTAAAGATGGTAGGAATTATATTTATTTGAACACTTCCTGGTGTTTGCACTGGTGACCGCTCAACTGCAAGCCGAAAGACTTGTCTCTCCTGGTGACACGGTGACGGTTCTATGGGCATACTGCTATCTGTTATAAAAGGACAGAGTTCCTTCTTTAGAAAGTGTTCAATGGAACATTAGGAGTAGTTTGGCTTGAGTTTGCAATTCATTACAATTTAGTCACAGTATAGCTATATTTTGCCTATTTTCTCCAGTTTGACTTTAAATAAAAATTTGGGGTTTAGTAAATCTTGTGCACCCAAAATAATTAAATTGAAGTCTGAGAATGCAACCGCAGTTGGTTTTTTTTTGGTGGGGGGGTTATAATTAAAAATTTGACGTAGGATTTGTCATCTTATATGGTACAACTTCTGTTTAACTTCTCTAGTTATTTGTGTCAGTATTGATATGGAAAACGTTAACTAGGTGGTAGTGCAATGTCATCTTCAACAGAAAATAAACCTATGCTCTTCTCTCACCAGGCTACGTTTATCTTGTTTTTGAATCTGAAAAATCTGTTCGTGCTTTACTACAAGCCTGCACTCAGGACCTCTTGAGCCAGGATGGACTAAGCGAACACTACTTTAAAATGTCTAGCCGTAGGATGCGCTGCAAGGAGGTAACTGGAACAAGTTTGTAACACACAATACACAGGATTCTAGGCCAGACAATATCTTTAGTGTCCGACATACAGGTTGTGGGTCCTAAGGACATGTATCTGACTCTGGGAACAGCATCCCACTACTGGGCCTGATTAGAGGCCTTTCTTCTGTAGTATTGGCACCACAGATTGTCAAACGGAGGTTATTTACTATAGTGAGAATTTGAAGAGATTTGCAAATTTAAGACAAATTGCCAAGCTTCTTAAATGTGCTTCAAGTTCAACTACTTTACCCTTAAATTTGCTATTCATTTTGAATTTTTACTTGTGTGAAAAAAATCTGAGAATCGTCCTCTTCAAGTATTGGGAGACGAGAACATGTGAATGGAATATTGGTCTGTTTAGTTAAAGGGACAATAGTCACAAACAACTTAAAGGACCACTATAGGCGCACAGACCAATTCAGCTTAATGAAGTGGTCTGGGTGCCAGGTCCAGCTAGGGTTAACACTTTTTTCTATAAACATAGCAGTTTCAGAGAAACTGTTTATAGTAGGGTTAATCCAGCCTCTAGTGGCTGTCTCATTGACAGCCGCTAGAGGCGCTTGCGTGCTTCTCACTGATTTTCAGTGAAGACACAGCGTCCATAGGAAAGCATTGTGAATGCTTTCCTATGAGACTGGCTGCGCGCGCGGCTCTTGCTGCGCATGTGCATTCAGCCAAGATGGAGGAGCTCCCCGCCCGGCGCTGGAGAAAGAGGTAAGTTTAATCCCTTCCTCACCCTAGAGCCCGGCAGGAGGGGGACCCTGAGGGTGGGGGCACCCTTAGGGCACTATAGTGGTACTTTAAGCTTACTGAAGCAGTTTGGGTGAATAGGTTCTCTGCAGTCTCGCTGATCAATTTTTGCCATTAAGGAGTTAATTCACTTTGTTTATGCAGCCCTAGTCACGCCTCCCTGCATTTGACTTGCACAACAGTCCTAAACACTTCCTTTAAAGGAACCAATATGTTCTAGGTTCCTTCATTGCACGTTCTGTTTAGTTTAAAAATTATCTCCTGTTAATTCTTCCAGACCCTGCTTGTACCTCCTGTTTGTGATTAAAGTTTAATTTACATAGGAAGAGTCTGCCTGGGCATGATCTATATAGAAAATGTGCTTCATTAAGCTAAAGTTGACGTCTGTATTATCACTATCATTGCACAGTGTCTCAAAAGATTCAAGAATTCGTGCTCCTGTATTCCCGCACTGTTTTAATTATATCCGGGCTGATCAGTGTCAAAAACAAAGTATCAAACTTAATTTTCCATAGTGCAAACAGCAGTCTTGCGTTCCCTCCAATCTGGCTATGGATCAAAAGTATGCTTTAGTTAGCCTTCCCTTATCTCAGGCTAGTATTGCCCTTTATAAGGGGAGGGGTCTGGCCAACAGTTTCTGCAGTGTTTTTAGTGGGTTCCAAAAACAATTTGGTTTATACAAACAAAAGAATGAGGGTCCTGCTCAAAATGACTGTCAATCTAAAGGTTCAGTTGCAGTTACATGGCAGGTGAAGATAAAGCAACTGTTTATGACTGGCGCTTGTACTATGGAACCTGAAACCTATGGTGTGGTCTACCATGTCCTGTAAATGAATCTGAGCCATGTAAAGCTTAATCAAAGCTTCTGTATTTCCTTTCACCATTAGGTGCAAGTCATTCCTTGGGTTCTGGCAGACAGCAACTTTGTGCGCAGCCCATCACAAAGACTGGACCCCAGTAAAACTGTGTTTGTGGGGGCTTTGCATGGCATGCTAAATGCTGAAGCTCTTGCTTCCATCATGAACGACCTGTTTGGTGGCGTGGTCTATGCTGGTATCGATACGGACAAGCACAAGTATCCAATTGGTGAGCTTAGTTTTGTTACTCCTGCATTCCGTTCTGTTGGCTCAGTTATCTAATCTTTATTCCATTCACAGGATCTGGACGTGTGACTTTCAACAACCAGCGTAGCTATCTGAAGGCTGTGAGTGCAGCATTTGTTGAAATAAAAACTGCCAAGTTTACAAAGAAGGTGAGTGTGTTGCCGAAGTGTACATGGTCACCACACGTTCCTTTAACACAGATCTGCTTAGAATAGTGTCCCTTAATTTCAGCGCTGCTTGTCCTGTTGCCAAATTGCCCCACACAGTAGCCGTGATTCTTTGCCTCTGTAAACCAGTTAATGTGTTGTATACTTCTGGAAATATGTAAAGACCTTCTGTAGTCCTAGTGACCAATTTACAAATGCTTAGTATGTAAAAGACTACATGTAAGAGCAAATGCATGTTGCTTGGTCAGGGGCTGCACAAATCTCAAATCCTGTAGTTTGAAGGGTATTTGATCTGATATTCCCGTTTCTTTTTAGTGTGGTGAGCTACTTGACCTCCTTAAACCAGTTTTTCTGGCACTGTAGGGTTATTCAGTCTTCCGTCTCCCCTGCAGGGGTTGAAGGGGCTTCCCACTTACCTGTGGTAGACCTAATGCGCATGCGCAACAATGGCCGCATGCATGCATTAGACCTCCTCATAAAGCATTATTCAGTGCTTTCCTATGAGGAAAATTTGATGCTGGAGGGCCGTGAAGAGGACATCCAGCGTCAGATAACTAACCAAAGGTTGGTTTGGATTCTGGAAGTCATCTAGTGGCTGTCAGACAGCTACAGAGGGCAGAGTTAAAGGTCAGCTAAATTACTTTAGCTAAATAAAGCAGTTTTTGTGTGTAGATCATTCCCCTGCAATTTCACTGCTCAATTGTTATTTAGGAATTAAATTACTTTGTTTCTGTTTATGCAGCCCTAGCCATACCTCCCCTGGCTATGATTGAAAGTGAAACCAGTTTTTTTTCATGCAGGCTCTGTCAAACAGATGTAATTTAACTTAAATAATAGTATCTCAATCTCTAAATTGAACTTTAATCACATACAGGAGGCTCTTGCAATGTCTAGCAAGCTATTAACCTAGCAGGGGAGAAGAAAATCTTAATTAAACAGAACTTGCAATAGAGAAAGCCTAAATAGGGCTCTCTTTACAGGAAGTGTTTATGGAAGGCTGTGCAAGTCACATGCAGGGAGGTGTGACTAGGGTTCATAAACAAAGGGATTTAACTCCTAAATGGCAGAGGATTGAGCAGTGAGGCTGCAGGGGCATGTTCTATACACGAAAACTGCTTCATTAAGCTAAAGTTGTTCAGGTGACTATAGGGTCCCTTTAAAGCTGCAGTGTAAACATTGCAGTTCTCAGGAACTGCAAAGTGTTGCATTGCAGCACTAAGTGCAAAAGGGTCACAGCACCCAGACAACTTCAATGAGCTGAAGTGGTCTGGGTGCCTACAGTGTCCCCTTAAGTATGAATAGAATCAGGAAGAATGGAAAACAAAGGGTTTGCATATTTCCTTAGAATTTACACAAAGTGCAACTAAAGAAAAATAACTTGTGTTCACATAAGTCTATCACAGTCTAAATCGATTTCTAGGATATAAATTAACTTTCGGTAGTCGGGGTTACCCCACACCAAACCTAGCACTACGCTGACACTAACTATAACAATCTATGTACCCTAACAACCCTAAAACTGCATGAACCATTAACCCAGATGAGGAATATAACTGGTTTTTGCCATCTAGTGGCTGTGTGGAGCGTGACTGGAAGATCACATGCTGCATCTGCCTCTTATACTGGTGCCATGGCGTTAAAATCCAATCTGTAGACTGCACGGAATGTCCCAACGTCATGCAGTTAATATACTATAGTGCACTCATGTAGTGATTCCTGGCTAACCTAGAAACTATACCTGCTGTACACTTTTTTTTTTTTCTTCTGACATATGGTGGCAGTGCGTATGGGCTGTGCTTCCTAATTGGGACAAGCATCTGCAAGATGGGTGATTAAGAAAAGTCCCTCCCCTTTACCATAGAAAGGGCAAACCCACCTCAGATCTTCCTTGTCCCAGCACGGGACGGATCAAGAAGGTGAGGCACACAGGTTGCTGTCTGGGGGAAGAAGTCAGATAGCTGCCCAGGTAGTAGGCTGAGCGGCATGGCTCCGTCCGTGGAGGTTCCGGAGCCCTTTCTGTTTAACTTTGCATTGAGTATGTTCTGGCTTGGTGACTATGGGCAAGCCATGCGCCTGCACACAGCAGTGGAACGTACGCCTGGGTGGTCCACCTAATTTCCAGGTGCACTATTGCACATGCGTGATCTGGAACTTCCGGGAAACCGCCAAGTGCAAATCTCTTTGCTGTTCCCTCTGGCAGCAGGAAGCTTGTCAGAAGGGTTCCCCATGTCACCAACCCCCCACGGCTCAGGTTTTAAAGGTAAAACTTGCCGATCTTTACTTTGAAAATCTGTTCTAATTAGAATTGCAAGTTATGGGTGGAATTGTTTCGCAGAAAGTGGACTTTGTGTAGAATGGCATAGTAAGTGTGGCATGTTTTCCTCAGTTTGTACAAGCAGAATGCCTCTGCTATACAAGGCTTTTGCTTATTGTATTTGTACTACTCCCATTAATATGGGTTTATAAATATGACCAGGGTGCTGCAATTTCTTGGGTAAAATTAAAGGCCCACTGTAGGCACCCAGACCACTTCAGCTTAATGAAGTGGTCTGGGTGCCAGGTCAAGCTAGGGTTAACCCATTTTTTCATAAACATAGCAGTTTCAGAGAAACTGCTATGTTTATGAATGGGTTAAGCCTTCCCCTATTTCCTCTAGTGGCTGTCTCATTGACAGCCACTAGAGGCGCTTGCGTGCTTCTCACTGTGAAAATCAGTGAGAGCACGCCAGCGTCCATAGGAAAGCATTATGAATGCTTTCCTATGTGACGGCTGAATGCGCGCGCAGCTCTTTTGCCGCACGTGCGCATTCAGCCGACAGGGAGGAGAAGAGGATCGGAGGAGGAGAGCTCTCAGCCCAGCGCTGGAAAAAGGTAAGTTTTACCCCCTTTCCCCCTTCCAGAGCTGGGCGTGAGGGGGTCCCTGAGGGTGGGGGCACCCTCAGGGCACTACAGTGCCAGGAAAAGGAGTGTGATTTCCTGGCACTAGTGGTCCTTTAAGCAGAGCAAATGCAATCATTCCTATCTTTGAATTCTTATAGAGAAGTAAAGTGCATCAGCTGCTTTGCCGGAGATGTTCCGCAGAGACCAAAGAGGTGTCCTTCGATTACTTCTAATGTCTAGTGAATGTTTATCTACTTCTGACATATCTGGTTCATCATACTGCGTGGAGTTGGTTGATGTACTGAGAAGGTTCATTAGGAATGAATCGGTCATGGGGCAGGATAAATCTGCTAAACTTTAATGAGTGTTCTGTTCCTCAAACCCCATGTCTTTCTCATATGCAGAAATGGGAACATTGTGTAACGAACCTTTCTTGCCTGACGTTTAATGTTTACCATCAAATAGGTAAATGTTATACCACCAGGTACACTGGGAATCCATAAAAATCTGCAGAAGTAGCTGCTTTAAAAACCCTGTCGTAAAGAAGGCTGAGACTTCTTGCAGGCAATCTTTCCAGACTGCCTAGTTTCGGTATGGGTCTTTGCTGGCAGGTGCAGCTGTGTCCAAAACCGTATAACTTTGTTTACAATCGTTAATGGAGGTTATTGAAGTCTCCTGATAAGCAGCTTGTTTTTTTTTTTCTCTTTTATTGTGATTGTCACATACTTTATATGAATTTGGCTAATAAAATTCGACCATGACGGCCAAAATCATGGGTTGATCGGTTTTCCTTGTCCTCGTGGCTTAAGCTTGGATGGCAGTTTAGCGTCCTTTTCAGTCCCCTGTTTACTCCCATTAGGAAAGGGGGTATCTTATAAGTCGAAAAAGGAAAAAAGCTCTGCCTCAAGACAAGTAGAACTAGGTCCGACATGGTTAGGTGTTTCAGACACCAAGAAGCTTGGAGGCGTAATCCTGCATTTCTATATGACGTGTGTATAGCTCCTTGGGTTTAGACCTTGTTCAACCCTTGGAATTTGCAGGTTAATTTCCCCTGCACTGTTAAAGGACCACTATAAGTCACCTAGACCACTTCAGCTTAATGAGGTGGTCTGGGTGCCTGGTCCAGCTAGGTTTAACACTTTTTTTTCTATAAAAATAGCAGTTTCAGAGAAACTGTTTATAAATGGGTTAATCCAGCCTCTAGTGGCTCTCATTGACAGCCACTAGAGGGCTTCCGCACTTCTCACTGTGATTTTCAGTTAGAAGACGCCAGCGTCCATAGGAAAGCATTGAGAATGCTTTCCTATGGACTGGCTGAATGCGCGCAGCTCCTGCCGCGCATGCGAATTCAGCCGAAGAGGGGAGGAGAGCTCCCCGCCTGGTGCTGGAGAAAGAGGTAAATTTAACCCCTTCCTGGCACTATAGTGGTCCTTTAACTCAGCACTTCATCACTTCGAGGTAGATGACTGGAGAACATTCAATGGAGTCACTTAACATTCCCAGGTTGCATTTGGGAACCAGTATGTCTCTTGCCTGGCTTAAGTAGAACCTACTTGCAATCACTGATTTCTTGATCTAGCTAGAGGGCACCGCTTGCTCTTTTCAAATCTGCCCAATCGATAATCATCCGAACATCTGATTCTCTATTTGCAGAAACAGTGTTCCTGTTGGATTCAAGGAGTTTGAGATCTGGTTCTGTGAACCACGAATTTTGTCGGGTTTCTCCGGAATCTCCTGGTTATCAATTCCGGATCATTCCTTTTTAACCAGTTATGAATTTAAATTGGTTCCTCTCCTGAGGTTCAGAATTCCCTCATGTCCCTATTACAGCCCCTCAAGAAGTTTTCTTAAAATACTCCATAAGTGGAAAGATTTCATTGCTCTTCAAAACACTCCCAGAACAGCATTATTTAAGGAACGAGGGAACAAGGGAGTCTGGCTGCTTATTGCTAATCTGGATGGTTGCCCTTTATGTTCAGGTAGCTAGCAGAGCGCTACAACACTGTTGGATACGGAGACTATAATGTATTTTCTTCTTCTCCAGGAAATTTTTTTTTTTTCTTTTTTTTTTTGAGGTTCATGTTAACTTTAAAACATTACCTCTGCATCTACTGCACTCATAAAGGAAAGGTCCAATTACTAGTAAAGTGAAAATTCCTCTATAACAGGAAATGAGATTGCTGGGATGTCTGACATCTTTAATTCCTGCAGTCAACTGGGCAAAATCTGGATCTGGCAGCTACAGTGGAAAATTATCTCCTCTGGGTCAGTGTTAAAATCTTTGATTTCTTTTTCACTTGACTCGCTTCGAAAAAAGCAGATCAGCTAAACTGGTGGACAACGTCAAGTTTCTTCCAACAAGTCTGTCCTTTCTGCCTATAGGAGTAATTTTAAGCACAGAATGAATCTAACACAGGCTGGGTCACTCTTCTAAATTCTGTAATGTGCCAGCGTTCTTGGTCCTAAGAGAAATAGTCCACTAATTTCAGAGCTCTTAATGCAGTTCTTCACTCCCCTCACAGATTCAGATCTTTGTTGATTGAGGGACTTATTACAACGCGGTCATACAATGACACTGTTTCCCCTCACGTGAACAGACAGGGTGGTGCCAGAGGCAAGGTCTGTTTCAGCTATGTACCAAAACGGTGTATTGGGCTCAGGATCTGAGAGGTTCTCTCTCCATTCCACTCTTGATGTGTAGACAATGTAATCACCTACAACCTCAGAAATTGGGATCGAGGAATGGTCTATAGATCATGTTCATGGTCTACAGAAAGATTTGGAGTGCATGGATAGAACCTATGGCAGAGGGAGAACATGAAGATTCTCAGGTTTGCCTCTCTGTACAGGACAGATGTTTAACATTGAATAGTTGGTCTATCTAAGGGTATTTTTCCAGGCTTCTATAATTATGCCACATCCCTGCTGGAAGTAGATGGCATAGTCAAAGGGTGTTTCAGGTGTACCTATCAATATCAGGTGAAATTCAGAAGATAGCCTGTCAACGTCTAGGGAAGTCATAAGGGGAATGAAGCCTCTCGTAATTCTATTTCTCGTTATTTCATCAGTCATAATGGCCTATGCTTCAGTAGTTTTGATTCACCAGTGTCTTTCACAGCGCATTCCACAAAGGCTATGGCCACTTCATGGGCAGAGAAAAGCTCTTCACCCGAAGAAATCAGCATGGCTCATTCTTGGTGAGCTTTTAGCACATTGTTTATTTAGCACATTATTGTGTATTCCTGCTACAACTGAGGTGGGTTTGGCAGAGAAAGCCCTTTATAGGGTAATGGGGAGGGACTTTTCTTAATCACCTATCTTGCAGATGCTTGTGCCAATTAGGAAGCACAACCCATACGTACTGTCAGAAAAAGGTTTGCAGTGAGTAAAAATTTGGTTTTCCACTTATGACACTTTAAAGGACCACTATAGTGCCAGGAAAACATACTGGTTTTCCTGGCACTATAGGGTCTCAAAGTCCCCCCCACCCTTAGGGTCCCTCTCCCGCCAGGCTCTAGGGTGAGGAAGGGGTTACGCATACCATTTCTTCACCTTCGGGCTCCCTCGGTGGTGGGGACTCTCCGCCTCCTTTCCAGTCATCGGCTGAATGCGCATGCGCAGCAAGAGCTGCACGCATTCAGCTTGTCCATAGGAAACCATTGTTCTATCACCGTGAGAAGAGCAGAAGCGGCTGTCAATGAGACAGACACTAGAGGCTGGATTAACCCATATGTAAACACAGCAGTTTCCCTGAAACTGTTTACAGCAGGCAGGGTTAACCCTAGAGGGACCTGGCACCCAGACCACGTCATTAAGCTGAAGTGGTCTCGGTGCCTATAGTGATCCTTTAAGGAACCTGCTGGAGATGCAACTAGGAGCATGAGATTTCATTTTATGTAGTTCAGAAAGTAATGTACAGACGTACAAACCTATGTCATGGGATGGCTTTATTTTTGTAGTGCGTTGCAATATTAACAAAATAGACATTGCATAGCTTATCATAGTATTAACCGAAAAAGTACAATACGTTACATAGCTACATAGATGAAGAGACTTGTGTCCATCAATTTCAGCCTTCATCACATTTCTTTTTGCTGTTGATCCAAAGGAAGGCAAAAAACCCAGTCTGAAGATCTTCCAATTTTGCAATGAACTAGGAAGAAATTCCTTCTTGACCCCAGAATGATCCTTGGATCAAGCAGCTATTACCCCACTAATTAGAAATTATATCCCTGTATGTTATGTTTTTGCAAGTATTTATTCAATTGCTGTTTAAACATTTGTATTGCCTTTGATAAAACCACATCTGAATCACTGCGGTTTTGAAATTAATGTATATGAACATGTACATTTAGTGTTGGTAGGTTAAGTGATAAAACCAAATATGTTGAGCAGAATGGCATGGTAAGTGTGGCATGTTTTCCTCAGTTTGTTCTGCACATGATTGAGGAACCCTGGGCCCCTGAACAGGGACACATCCTAGTTGAGAGGTAAATGTGACCCTGATTGCTCAGTAGCCAGAGGAGAGGCAACCCTAGTCCCCATGCAGAGAGCAGCCAACGCCATTACTGTCAGGACAGTCCCCAGCTTCACTCCTTGATCTACGGGTAACTCTGCATCATGTGTCTGTACCAGCCTGCACTCTGATTACCTCGGGAACCGCTTTGCCAGTCAGGCGATCTCAGTGTGTTCAGTGTAGATTGGTAGCACCCCAGGCCAGGCCTCGGGAGAAGGATGTTGCTCAGATATCACCCAGAGTGCCTGCTGTGAATGTCGAGAGCCCTTCTCCACGGAGTGCTGGTCAGGCTCAGCTGCCATGTTGAGGGTTAGGTGAGGCCTTCGATCAGAATAGGCGTTAGTAGGGCCCCAGGGTAGGCCTGGATGATCCCCACAGGGCCATCATATTGCAGAAAGGCAGTGTCTGTCCACCCTACTCACCACCTGGGTAGGCTTGAGTAGGCCTTGGTCAGAGATTGTTTTTCTCCCCTGAAGGGGCTGATCCACATAGTGCAGTTGCCTGTGTCTCCGCACCATAAACTGCTTTTTGGGACCGAATTGTCTATAAAAAAAATAATAATAAATATAATATAATATAATAGCTAGTGTTCCATGTGTCTACTCCACTGGGTGGTACGGCCCCAGGGACGGCTTGTTCTGCATAAACCTACACAACAGAAATTAGACCGGAAATAAACACTCAGATCACTTTCAGACACATTGTCCTCTAACTTTACACTTTAGAAGCACAAGCCCTTGACACAAATCCTTATCCATTCTGAAATCTTACGAGGTAAGAGTTCTCACTATTCTCCATATTTCTGTAAAGAATGAGCAATGAACAAATTAAAATGGGGATAACCTATTTGCATCCATTTATGCACAAAACATTGTTCAACAAAATCAGTCAAAATATTGAGGCATGAATTTAAAATGTAATTTATCTCTGCATACTTGAAGTATATTTTTTTTCTTTTGGCTAGGTTCAAATAGACCCTTATCTGGAAGACTCAGTTTGCCAGGTCTGCAATTCTCAGCCTGGTCCTTTCTTCTGCAGAGACCAGGTAAATTATAATCTACAAAGAGCAATATCACACTAAGTGTTCATTTTTATCTCTTTAGTTCTGATAGTAACTGTTTTCCAGTAGCCCAGGAAGGTTGTTAATATTTCTTGACTTTTTTTTTATGCAATTGTTGGTAGAATCCCAATGCACTGCTTTGGACCAATGCACATAGTCTTCATTGACTGTTCTTACACAGTCCAAAATTTGACTTTAACGCTGTTCTGTAATTCTTTAACCTCTCGCATGACCTAGTTTAATTCCCATAAAGCGGCTCTGAGCAATCATGATACCTATAGAGCGGCTGCTTCCAGTGCTCTAATTTACCGCAGACGTATGAGGTACGTCCGCAGTCCTTAAGGACAGTTGTGTATTTATTTATATTTTGCCCGACGTACCTCATATGTCCGGTCCTTAAAGGGTTAAAAGGCAGCCGATCAGCCACTTCCTGATAAGTGTATTTGTGCTAGATGTACATCTGACCTCTATCCTTCAACTTTGGAAGATGGAATTTAATTTGTGATTTGTTAGTCAGAAGATTAACAGATACAGTAAAGCTTGGAATTCTCACAAGTATGAGTCGAATTATCGCTCCTTGTATGACATCTAGCTTTGTACATGCATGAGATCTGCAGATGTTTATGCTCCTGCAATATCTAATCTACCCCAGTTTTCTTGTTCCTGCCACAGTATTATCGCAACCACAAAGCCAGCTGTAGTAGCTAGGCATTCAGAAAGGTGAATCTTGTTGCGATATGATAGAACTAATTATCTGATCAATACACAGGTTTAATTTTGGTCTTGTCCTCCCCATAGGTTTGCTTCAAGTATTTCTGCCGCTCCTGCTGGCATTGGCAACACTCAATGGAGATCCTGCGTCACCACCGCCCACTCATGCGTAACCAGAAGAGCCGTGACTCCAGCTAAAGGCATGGTGAAATTCATGACCACAGTTGAGATGAGTTTCTGCTGCTGGACTTGTGGGAAAGGCAGAAAGCGTCCAGTTTCCCTCCCTCCAACATTGGGAGCACTTATTATTTTTATTTTTTTTCAGGATTTAATGACAAGTCAGTGGATTGTGAGGGGAAAGTCACTTTTTTGCACTTACTGTACCTTGTGATAGTTTTATGCACTAGTGCACAGTGAATTTTTGTGTTTTGTTTTTTTTAGGTTTGTGGAGGGGAAGATCCTCCTATAAGGAGTGTTTTGCAGTTCCCAGACTGGTCCTCTTAACACTTGCTGAAAGTAAGCAATGTGCGTGGGCCTTTAGTTTCCGAAGGTTATGGCTACTGATGCCTCTTTGCCTTGAGTCAAATTTTTTTTTTATATTACAGGCGCTTCTTGTTTTACATTCCTTGCAATACTGCTGGTGATAATGCAAATCTCATTAACACTTTACCCCCACATACGTTGCCATACAGTGCCTTCCGATTTATTTAATGTCCCGTCTGAACCACATAAACTGTTCAGCTGACATTTTTACTGTATCAACAATAGCAGGATATGCTCTTGATTTAATCCAATCATATTTCATATTTTTACCCTCTGTGGGATTTTTACCAGTTCCTTTTTACACTCTTAAAGACGGTTTTTAAGTCCTTTTTTTTTTCTTTTTTTTTCTTTGTCGTTTTTTCCTCTTTTTCAGTTTCCCTTTTCTGGCAGCTTTTAACATGATTGCAACTTTTTTCTGTTTCTGGGAGCTGCTAGTTTAAAATAAGAAAAATCTAAAAATATTTGTAAAACAGAATTTGCAACTGAAAAGGACAGACTTGGGGCCTTTACTGAACCATATATTGACCTTGTGTGTGTATATAGTTTTAAGGATGTTTGTTGCACTTTTTTAATTTGCACTTCAGGGGATGGTAGCGTTTTTAATCACTTTCTGTTTGTATTTGGCTGGACATAAAGGGCTGAGATATATATTTTTGTCTGAGAATGGGGTAGAGGCAAGAGATATGGTGAGACCTTTCTCCTGGAGGGAATAAGTATCCATGCTCTCTGTTGGCTTTTAAGAAACAGCTAACATATGCAAACTGTTGCAGGCCTTTAAAAACAAAAATGTCCGTAATTCTTTCCTTTTTATTTGTCCCCTTGCCCCCTCTGTATGGAAGCTCTGTGCCAAAGATCCCACTGTCTGTGTATCTCTTCCTCCTCCCAGTACATGCTGCGCTATCTGCACTCTAACTACCCTTAAAGGGGTATGTCTGTGAAGCTGTGTGTAAAGTCTCTACCTCATTGTAGTTATGCAAGCAGAAGATGCACTTAACCTACAGATGTGGTGTAGTTTATTTGTTTTTTGTTTTTTCTTTTTGGCACATAATAAACACGTTGAAGCAGTAAGTGTGAGAGCTTTATTTTTTTACACTGGGATATTTGTATGTGATGCCGTTAATGGTTACACTTAAAACTCTAGAACACTCAAACCCCTTCTATTGCCGGGAGAACAACTTCTTGACTCTATTTTAAGGAACACTATAGGGTCAAATATGCATTCTTGATCCTATAGTGTTAAAACAATCTGCCCCTTCCCTCCTAAATATAGTAAAATCTTACATTTATTCCAGTCTGCAGCAGCTGTTGACACTGACCCTGATCTGCCTGCTTGGCTGACATCAGGAGTTCTGAACTAATCACAATGCTTTCACAAAGGATTGACTGAGACTTCCAAGGAGGCAAATTAGGGGCAGAGCCAGCACCAGCCAAACACAGCCCTTGCCAATCCACATCGCATGGAGATGCATTGAATCAATGCATCTGAGGAAGGTTCAGTGTCTCCATGCAGAAGGTGGAGACACTGGCAGTGCTGCACACTTACAGCACTGACCCAGTAAGCACCTCTAGTAGCCATCTGATGAGTGGCCAGTGGAGTTAAACCTAGGCTGTAATGTAAACCCTGCATTTCCTCTAAAATTACAATATTTACTGCAAAAGGCCTGAATGTAAACTTTATATTCACCAGAACAAATACAATAAGCTGTAGTTGTTCTGGCGACGATTGTGGAAAGGTTTCTCCTAACTTGCCATCTGTACCCTGGTTGTGCTTGGACTTTGTCATATGATTAAATAAAGCTAGAAGGGTTTTTCAGTTTTATGCTCTGTCCCCTTTAAGGTCTAGATTCCTCTGTGTATATACAATCCTTTGCAGTCCATGGTGTCTTTATATTTAATTTTAGAAGATTTTAAAATGAAAATATTCATTTTGGTAAATCCTTACTGATGTAGCATGAAGACGTGGTTATCTCATGCAAGAATAAATGTAGTTTGGCTCCAGCTAATGTTTGGCCTCATTCCTCAGCTTTAGGGAAATTACGAAAGCCCTCGTGTTTTGCAAGTTTCAACACTTGTTACAGGTCCTAGTATAAAACTTGTGTATATCAAATCGTGCAAACTAAAGTTCTTTAATCCATTCTCGACATTGGGACGTTCCATGCCGTCGTACATAGTGGGCTTTAATGCAGCTCTGGTGTGAGCATTGTTAAATCCCTGCTCTAACCAGGGAGTCCCTGTTATAAATGTATAACTGGAGCCCTACACTGACTGCTGCGTAGCCCTTTCAATCCATTTAAATCACAGAAATTGAGCAGTCGCACTCTGCTACAGTGATTCTAGGATTGACGAAGGGTCTTCCTGCATGCAGACTGATTAACACAGAGGCAAGCATACTTTCCCAACTAATACTGTATCAAAGGGAAATCTTCCTATAATACTGAAAACGGTCAGTAGGTGGCAGCAAAATGGCTTTCTACTGTAATGATACTCTTCACAAAGCATTTCAGTAAGCTAGGGTGCTTCAGAGATCCACGGTCCTCTGCAATTTATAAAAGTGCCAATTTCTATTGAAATCTGCACTTCTGTAAAATGAAGACTTTCAATCGGTTTTGTTACATCCTGGTGTGTTTAGTTCAGTGGAGCTAAACTATAGGCAGCAGTGTGGGTGGCTTCCCTGGGGATCGGGCTGGTCAGGAAAAAAGGAAATTAGTGCCATAAAAAATAATTTTAAGTGCTGCAATGTATAAATTGAGGATTGTCCCTCACCACCTGCAATAACCTCTCGGGTTGCGCTAGCAGATGTCTTCTGCTGGGATTCCTGCTAGGCCAGAGTCTGTCAGGCACACTTGAGGGCTGTGCAAAGGCACTCATGTCATGACACGTGCCATATTTTGCAGACCCTGGTGTAGGGTTAAGTTTAGGGTAGGTATATGGTTAATGCAACCATGTTATATGGTTGGTATAGGGTTAGCATTAAAGGGACACTGTAGGCACCAAGCCTACTTCAGCTAATTGTAGTCTGGGTATTGTGAACCTTTTGCAATTAGTGCTGCAATGTTAAACCATGCAGTTCCAAAGAGCTGCAATGTTTACATTGCAGCAATAAGTCTGCCCTCTGTGGCTGTCTTCCAGACAGCCACTAGAGGGCTTCTGGAATCCTAACATACCTTTTTGGTCCATTATCTGATACTGGATGTCCTCACTGCCCTCCAGCATCAGATTTTCCCCATAGGAAAGCACTGAATAATGCTTTCCTAAGGGGAGATCGAATGGGTGCGTGGCCACTGCTGAAGTCGGCAGGGGAGGAGCGTGGGCGGAGCCTGACCCAACACCGAGGGACATTTGTGCTGGATTCAGGTAAGTGGCTGAAGGGGTTTCAGCGCTGAGGGACAGGGAGAACTATTAACGACTGTTTTCCTGGCACTACAGGATCCCTTTAACTTTTTTAATACATCTAGACCTATGCATTTAACAATCAGGACTGATATGTGAATCTATGGAGTTTAGTTGCACCACTTTAATTTACTAATGTAATTTTTTTATATATTCTCCTTTTTGTCTTTTAAAAGTTAGGTCGCTTTAAGGGATTTTTGTTGGCACACGGTCATTGGTCATTGCGTGCCACGTTGTGGCAGTTAGGTGTTAGTTGTAATATAATTGCAGGTGACAGAGGGCCAGAGTCAAGAAATCTGTTTCAATAAGCCTGTCATTGGAGAAAATACTTGGAAATGCCTGTACTATAAATACTGTCATGCTGTTTCTTCAGCAGTAAGTGTGGGGGGAAAAAAACATTTCGGTGTGCTTATTGAAGAGCTTTACTTAGTGGAATGTACACTCAATACAAGTCCTTAGAGGAAATTGTAAAATTAGTCTTTGTACGCAAAACTTTAATATCCTCCTTACCTCTGTCCCATAGTACCAATTACATTGGTGCCATTTCCAATGACATTACAACCTTCTGTTATCACATTACCCCAGAGCTTTACTATTGCCTTAAAGGCAAATATATCGCCCATGCACATCCCATCACTCATATTACCCACCACTATAGTGCGTATTGAGGCAAAATGAAGCATTTTAGGGAATATGATTTCATAACATGAGACAAAAGGACCTGGGTAGAAGCTCGCCTTCTGAGAATCTACCCTGTTGCTGGAGATGAAGCATCAAATGCTGATCTAGCACAATGTCAGGCTGTCCATGCATGGAGAACAAGTTTTTTAGACGCTTTATTTTTGTTCCCTAAACCATTTGAGTTTAATGTTATACAGTAAATTAATTTATTGCTTGGGAAATCACACTTCCAGTTATTTTTAATGGAAAGTCACTTCTGTTTTTTTTTAATTTTGTTAACTTATTCCTATATTTGGGAGGTCTGAAATTTACATGTCAATCTGCACAGTTTCTGTCCTGGAACTGGGTGCGTCGTTTATTATAAATCTATAAAGTTGATGCATCTCATATAAGCTCCTGACACGGACATTCATTTATAACCAATTATAACAATCAGGGATAGGGGTCTCAGATCCAAGAAACATGTAATGCTATTACCCATTCCTGATTAAGAGGTACATTTATGTATGATGTATCTTTTTGTCAAACTACTGATTGCAGAAAATTAAAGAATCTTTAAAAAAGTGTGCACATTATGTGTCTCTTTACAGTAAGTGTTTAGCAAGGCTGTGTAACTCACATGCAGGGAGGTGTGGCTAGGGAGATACACCCTGTTGCAAATTCTATTTAAGTGTCAAAGATTAAATATTTTGTTTTTCAGTTTAACTCCTGGATGGCATTGTCTCAGGGCTCTTTTGATCACTGAAAACAATGACACCTGTGATAATTAGATTGCCAGGTGAGCCCAACAAGTCTGCAACGTCAGCAAGTGGAGTCATGTTTTGGGCCGGAATCCTGAGAAGAGAGCTGGCCGGCTCCTTTATGGCCCCCAAAGGTGTAAAGATGATCTCTGCAAAGTATGTGGAGTTTCTAACTGACCACTTTCTTCCCTGGAACAGAAGGAAGAACTATGTTTTCTGTAATATCTTCTTTATGCATGGCAATGCACCATCTCATGCTGCAAAGAATACATCTGCATTAATGGCTGCTATGAGGATAAAAGGAGAGAAAGTCATGGTGTGGCCTCCATCCTCCCCTGACCTCAATCCTATTGGGAACCTTTTGGAGCATCCTCAAGCAAAAGATCTATGAGAGTGGGGGGCAGTTTACATCCAAACAGCAGCTCTGGGAGGCTATTCTGACATCTTGCAAACAAATTCAAGCAGAAACTGTCCAAAAACTCACAAGTTCAATGGATGCAAGACTTGTGAAGCTGCTATCAAATAAGGGGCCCTATGTTAAAATGTAACGTGACCTGTTACAATGTTTAAAAAGTTAAAATGTTATAAGTTTGATTGAAATAGCTTTTGGTTTCAGTAAATATGCTGCAAACACAACAAATGACAATTTTCAGTTCTTTACAACCTATAAAGTGTTTTGTAACTTACTGTGCATAATTTGGAACAGTGTAAGTTTGTTTTTAAAAAAATACTGTTTGTTCAATAAAATTTGAATTGTACTCTTAATAGTTAAGAACATGAGAATTATGCTGACTGTTATTTACAGCCATTATTTAGGTAAATGAGAAAAATATCATTTGCATTATAATTTGTAACAGGGCGTAGTGATTTAACTCCTAAATAGGAGAATTGAGCAGTAAAACACAATATGGGGCATTATCTATACACCAAAACTGCTTCATTAAGATAAAGTTGTTTTAGTGACTATTTTGTCATTTTAATTCTGTATTTGAAAGAAAATCAAGTATCCACAATTATCTATGTAATGGCATACAAGATTGATTACTCCAGTATTTTAAATCATGTAACAAAACCTCTTAAAATCTCACTGATAGCGACGCCTCACTGAGTATAATTTTTTATTGACATTTGGTGATATCTTGCATGTTTGAGATAAGAGTTGGTAAAATCAAAAAAAAATTCCCCTCCGATGACAATCTAGGAAATTGGTAGAGGGGAAATAAGACTTAAAAATATTGTCATTTGGATTAATTTTTT